CGAGAGCACGCCATGCGTGCTAGCTGCGCTCTTGGCACCCAAGCGAGCGCTCGCCCCGCTCCCGTCAGCGGGAAAGCGTGTGCCTCGGCAGAGGTGTGTGGGAGAAATACTACGGGCTCTGCCGTCCGTGGGCTGGTGCAATTCATGCTCCGGCGGCAGGGGAGGGTGGGGAGCTGGGGCTGGTGGCAGTGACATCTCCGGGCCAGCAGCTCCTTCCCGTGCCGCTGACAACGTGTGTCACTCCGAGCCAGCGACCACGCGTGACAGTGTTACACGTTGCCTACAGTAACCAGGTGCTTTTGGTGTGTGTGTCCCCCCACCACCACCCTCACGTCACCTCCGGCGTCCCAGCTCGCAGACAGTGAGGTGCGTAGGAGTCGGCACCGCGTGGGAGTTTGGGAATTTTAACTCGCTGCGTTGCAGAGCTGCCGCTGCGCCTGCGGAGCCGGCGGTTCCCCCCGCGGGGATGCGGGAGAAGATGCTGCCTTTCCCAGGGTGCTGCCACGGGGGCTGCTGGCGGGTGAGCGTAGGAGAAGCCCTGAGCTCCTTCTGACCCTGCAGAAAATTTCCACTGGAGTTGGTGTTCCCCGGCTGCAGCATCAGCCCTGCGCTGTGGACCAAGTCACTTCTGCACCGTGACTTGGTTTCCCCTGGCACGCTGTTGCTGCTGCCGAGCTCTGCCGGAGCCGTGCGAGGCCCCAGCACTTCCTGGGCGTTTTGCCGGCTTCTTTCCAGCTGCAATGCCCTTGGCGGGGTTGGGGGGGGGGCACGCTTAGTCCCCCCACTCTTGCAAGATGAAGGCTGGGAGCTTCTTCCCCCTTCCCCGTTGCGAGGGAAATGAGAGGGTCTTGCAGTCAGTGGGGTCTCGCCCATCCCAGGATTTTGGCTCTTGAGTTTACCGGTCCCCATGTGCAGCACCCTGGGGTGGGGTGGGTGTCGTTGGGGGTTTCCCACTGGTGGGTGCTGGAGTGGCCCCACTGGGGAGGGAAATGCCACCGTCCCCACCCCGAAGCAGCGCGCTCCGGCGAAGGAAGCGGATGCGGCGGCGGGAGGAGGAGGTGACGTCCCGGGGGTGATGCAGGTGCCAGCCCAGGGGAGCCCCAGCAGGGGACAATGTCTGGTCTTGGCACCCAGGGCCCGGGGGAAGAAGCAAGGAGAGATGGATGCCGGTGTTACTGCGGGAAGAGGGATGGATCCTGCTCCCTTGCTGCACGGGTGCCAGTGCGGGGTGCTGTGAGTGGAGCTCGTGCCTGGAGAGGTCTGTCTGGGGTGTTTTGGGCTGGCCTTGACACCCCCCCCCCCCCCATCCCTCCCACCCTTCCCTGCTTGGGGCATGGCCCCTCTCCGCGGCGTTGGGGTGGAAGGCGCAGGTTCCTTCGCTGCCCGCTCCAATGGCTGCGATCCTGCACCTCCTCCCTTCTTGGCTGTGAGTGAGAGCTGGGGGAAGCGCTTGGTCCCAAGGGTGAAAAATCTTCCCTGGGATGCACCAAGGGGCTGCAGCTGCACCCCTGCTCCTCGGGCGCCAGCCCTGGTCCTCCGGAGCGTGCGCTTTGCCACCGTGAGTTGCCATTTCACCTCCTTCCACCCGTATCTCTCCTGAGGAGGTGATAACGCCTGGTAGTTCACTGGGTGGCCCCTCTGGGTGTCCTCCCTGGGGTGCCCTGGCCACCCAGTGCGGGAGGGGTTAAGCGGGGAAGGCTTGCCATGGGTGTTGCTGGGAACAAGCAAGCGTGCACGCTGCCATCCGCGCATTGTTGCACATTGCGATTTGGTGAGTGTGCCGGGGAGGGGCCCTGATCCCCGGCCGCTGGGGTGCTGCAGCCCACTGCTTCATGGGGAGACAAGGGGGGGCTCCGCTTAGCGCAGGGTGGGAGGTGGAGGACTTGGTGGGGAGGGGGGCTCTGCTGCTCAAAATCCACCAAGCATCGGTGTTGCCGTGACCTGGGGACCGCTTCTTGCTCCACGTTGCCCTGGGCATGTCTCTTCGCCTCGGGTCGTGCCTCCGCTGTGGGAGATGGACCCGGCTCAGCGCCGGCAGGCACCGGGGCAGGGAGTCGTGCCCTCCCCGTGCCCCCCCCATGCCTGCCAAGAACAGTGTCTGCCCAAGGCTCTCGTCTCTGTCGAAACTGGGCAGGGTGTGTTGTGCAAAGGTCCTGGTACAGACACGCTGGTGCAGGGAGCCCCGCGCGCTCTCCAGCGTCTCCTTGCACGCTTGCTCCTTCCCCGCTCCGAGGGGCTACAACGGCTGCCCGGTGGGGTCCCTTCGCCTCCTGAAACACCCTCCACCGGTGGTAGCGCTTAACATGTCTCTCCTGGTGATTTTCTTGGCAGATGCAGCCGTTCAGCAGCTTTTTGGCTCCTTCTCCCATTAGAGCATCGCTCCCATGTGGGACCACAGCTCCCAGCAGCTGATGGCAAGTGCTGAGTGGTGGGGGGGGTCTGTGTAGTGGGAGGGAGAGCTGGGAGAGCTGCACGGTCTCTCCTGGGACCCTTCCCAGCGAGCAGGCAATGAAAGGTACTTCAAGCCCATTTTTCTGCTTTATTGGCTACTTTGGTTTTTGGAGCCCGTGTGTCTGTCTGGAGAGTTGGTCTGTTCATGAGGCTGTGCTCTGGGGCTCAGCACAGCCTCGCCATTGGGGATGGAGCTCAGCTCTTAATTTCCAAAGAGAAAAATCTTAAACTGAGGCCAGGAAGGGTAATTTTGGGATTTTGGTGGTTTGTTGTTTTTTTTTTTTTTTTTTCCTCCCCGCTTGGCAACATAAACAGCATCCCTGACAGCTTTACATTGAATTTGTCATGGCAACCTACAGCAGCCGAGTGTTTCCAATACCCCGTTCCCGAAGCAGGAGAGGAGACGAACCCCGGTGGGTGCTGCCCAAGGGGCAGGACAGCCCACGAGCGAGGGGCAGCGTGTGGGGCTGGGATGCGGGTGGCCTCTGTACCGATGCAGCTAGGTAGGTGCTTGCAGAAGGTGATCAACTTTGATCCAAATGGCCTGAGGTTTGCTCAGTGGGCCTGATCCTGCCTGGCTGAGCTGCTCTGCTGGCTCGGTGGGGTTTGTGGCTCTGGGAAGGGCAGGCGGATGACTGGTGTTGCTCTTCCTCGGTGCTTTCTGCCCTGGATGGTGGGAGATGTCCAGGCTGGAGCAAGATGCAGGGGTGAGCTGAGCTGGGGCACGGACTTCCCCCTCCTTCCTAGGTTAAAAAAACAAAACCTCCTGAGCTTGGTCAGGGCTTGCTCCATCTCTGGTCATCTGCTGGGGTAGTGCTCAAGTCTGTCTGCCAGGGTCTGGTCCGAGCGCGCTGAGCTGAGCAGGGAGGATTCATGCTCTTGCCCGGTGGTCCAGCAAGAGCTGCTCTGGCAGCAGCCGCAGGCTGGCGTGTGCCGGGCTGCCGGTGCCACGGGCTGTGCCGCCGGTGTCGCAGCGAGACCGCTCATGGCTTGGCTGAAGGTGTCACCTGTGACATGTCCGGCTGATTATTTTTTTTTCTTGTCCCTCTCTGAGCAGCCCACTTTCCCCCATGCTTCAAAGCCAGCGGGTCCCTTTCCTTGTGCCAGCAGCCACTCTGCTGCCCGGGGCGGGCACATGCAGAGGGCTGCGCTGGCCTGCAGCCGCTCTCCCCAACCAGGACGGAGGTGTAATGCAGCCGTTTATTATTCTGGGCAGGTTTGTCTGCAGCACCGCATCAGCTTTGCTGCTCCTCGCCAGCCGCTCCCTCCTTCCCGGAGCGTGCACGCTCCTTTCCCTGGCTCACACCCCGGCCCATGGGTCGAGGGGGTCCGTGTCCTTTGCTACCACCACCCCCAAACTCCTCCTTGTCTGCAGCTACCCTTGTCCTGCTTGGGGATGCTATTTGGGAGGTGATGCAGCACCACCAGCAGCTCAGGGGGTCCCACGCAGCTGGTCCCCACGCAGGGCAGGGCAGTTGGGCTCCTCCTTGGGCTCTCCCACAAGCTGGGCTGTGTTTTCTTGCCAAGGGGACCCTTGGGGAGCACTTCTTCCTCTCCAGTGCCTGGGGGCTCTGGAAATAAATTATTAGAGTTAGGGAGAGCCTGCTGAATGCTGCTGGAGTCATTAGGAGCTCATTAAAGCATTAGCTGTTAAAGGAAGCCTGAGCACAGGTCTTCCCTTGCCTGGGACGGATCCTTCCCAGCCTGGCCAAGGAGCGCGGGAGCCTGTCCTGCGCCGGCGGGATGGGGCAGAGATGGGCCAGGAATGGGTGTCTGACCTGGCTGATGCTCTGACCCCAGACTTGGGCTGGAGGAGGATGCTCAAAGCAGATGGTGGGAGCCTTCCCCCACCACGGTCCCTCCTTTCTTCTTGACCGGCAGAGCGAGTTCCCGGGGCTGGCACTGCTGGAGGGAAGGAGCCTCACAGCTGGGCACGGGCTGGTGGGGATCGGTGCTCCATGGGCTCCTTCAGGGGTAATTACAGACTAGGCTGTTACAGTATTAATTAACTGTCTCTTAATCTCTAAGCTCTCCTCAGAAAACATTAGTTGCTATGAAAGAGGAAAAAATTAGTGTGTTGAGGTGGGGGAAATTATCTTTTTTTTGGTGTGTATGTTGTTCAGGAGGAGTCTGCTTAATTGGACCTGCCATCTCCTACCTCCCGCTGCCGGCAGCTTTCATGCCTTTAAATGATAGATGAGCTCGGCTCTGCAAGGAGCCACGGGGTGACCGACCTGGGCATGGGCAAGGATGCTGATGCCCCAGCTGGTGCTGGTAGTCTCTGCTTTATGGGGCAGCAGTGGCCCGAGGGTGCAAGTTTGGGTGCCCTGGGAGCCGCAATGGGGGAGCATGTCCCTGTGCTCCCCATCCCTTTGCTGCCTGCAGCTGGTGGACAGGACCCTCCCGTGGTGGTGGTAGCATCGCTGATGTCCCTGAGGTTCAGTTGGTGCCTGTTGCCTCCTGATAATGCCGAGAACCGCCCTGCGTGTTGCTGGCAGGGATGGGAGCTGCTCGCAGGGGCCAGGTCCTGGGTTGGGTGTGCAGGGAGGGGTTTGCTTTTTCAGGGTCTTGCTGCCCCAGGGGTTGCAAAGCTGATATGACCGGCACTGGAATGGGAGTAATTTGCTGTGGGGTGGTGCTGGGATGGCCCCATGGTGGTCTGGTGCCTGTCTGTTGGGTTTGTGAGGGCAGGTGCATCCCGTGTGCTCCTGGGAAGCAGCGATGGGCATTTTCCCTCCTTCCTCCCGTTCTCATCTGGCTGCTTGGCTTCTCTGTCCGCTTGCTCTGCCACCTCCAGCCTTCTGTCTCAGTGCTGATGCTGCCTTAGTGGCCATTCCCCTTTTGTTATTCATTTATATTGCTCTAGGAAAAGCTTTATTTTCTCTCCATAAAGAGCCTCCCTTGCAGTCTTTTCGCGTCTGTAGTGCTGGAGAGGTGTCTGGGAGCATCGCTGCTGGCATCTGAGCTTGGGAGCAGAGCTGGAGGGCACCTTGGGTGAGAGAAAGCCCTTTCCTCCTCTGGCCCGTGCTGCCTTGCCTGCTCCCTCCGTGTCTCTAGCTGTCCCTAGTGCCCGTCCTCTCTGCCTGGGATGCCAGCGGGGCACCCCAGACCCCAAACCCCTGGGGAAGGGGGAAGCTGTGGGATGCTTGTGGTCCCTGCCTGGCCACAGCGCTTGGGTCATGCTGGTTGAAGCAGTTTTGAGGGTCACCTGCTCTTGGTGGCAGGGCTGGGGCGTAACCTGGCTGGCAGCGGTTTGGGGCTTTGAGAGCCGAGGCTGAGAGCCCGCTCGCTGCCTTCGAGGGGACAGCGTGAGAGCTTGCAAGCAGAATACAGAGGGCTTCCTGAGACATGGTCCGAGAGGGTCATTAATGCAAAAGCCTCTTTATTTTAGAGAAACATGCAGGTTTTAGTAGCTTTTCTGGTTCCTGCCGAGTCTCTCTGCTGATTAAAAGCCCTCTGGGTGCTGCAAGTCCCTTTCTGTCAGTGCCGGCTAGCTCGGTGTGATGCTTCTGCTTACCTGTTGGCAGTGCGGTAAGCCGGCGCTCCCGCCCCGGGATGGCAGCCTGAGGAGGAAGCAGCTGTTTTCCACTGCCGAGATGTATTTTTAAACCAAACTGAATGGGAGAGTTTTTCTGGGCCGGGCAGCTGGGGGTTGAGTGAAGAACCACCTGGGCGCCCTTCCTGCCCGGCCCCGCGCGCTGCCGGAGCCGCTGCCGCCGGTTTTCCCTGCGGCGTGGCCGAATGTCCGTGAAACGCCCTGGTTCATGCCGAGCCTGTCTGAGCTCCCTCCGAGGTCAACTTCTGCTGATCTAGATTTTGTTTTGGTCAAATCGCGCTGACCCCAAGGGCAGGGTGAGCAAGCCGGTGCCTCCAAACCACATTATTTCTGGCAGGTTCCTACCCTCGGTACCATTGCTCCCGCTTGCCTGTCCCGTGGGGCGTGTGCATTTATTAGTAGGCCTCCTAATGCTGATATTTTTGTTTCCCATCCTTGTTTTTGCAGCTCCAGTTGCTGTGGTATCCAGGGAGCCCTCCTCCTTCTGCGGGAGATGCACGCTGGTCGTTGCTAAGGTCGCCTCCGCGGTAACATGCACATCCTGTTTACACCTTTATCCGGAGAAGTTGGGCTCGGTTAGAGGCACCCGCTTCACCCGGGCAGCCCCCAGGGAAGGGGTCACACCAAGCATCCCCCCGCCGGACCCTCGAGGGAGGGTGCTGCAGGAGCCGCGAGCCGGCGTTGCCACCGCTGCGCCGGCAAGATGACGAACAACGTGGCCGACCACCACCCTGGGAACTCGGTTGCTGAAGGCAACCATGAGGGGGACTTTGGTTGCTCCATGGTGGAGCTCAGGAACCTCATGGAGCTGAGGAGTGCCGAGGCGGTCGCCCGGCTCAATGACTCCTACGGCGGCGTGCAGAATGTCTGCAAGAGGTTGAAGACGTCGCCAGTTGAAGGTAAGCGGTCATCCTGTGGTCTGCAAGGTGGAACTGCCTGCTCGGGTCCGGCCGGTGCCTCTGGGCTGGAGCCATGCAAGGTTCAAGCTGGTGGCTGGAGGGTGGTGGCTCAAATAACTGTCTCGTGGCTGAGCTCGAAGCGTGGTCCTGTTGCACCGGGCATCCATTGCGAGCCTCGTGGGATATAGCTCCCGGCATCTTAATAAAATGATCATTTAGGGTAGAGAAGGAGGAAAAAGAAAAAAAGAAGCATCTTCCCTGGGGGTTCCCCTGAGGTGTAGCCCAGAGCCCCGCATCCCGTGGGAGGATGGAGTGAGGCGGGATGCGGGCAGGGGTGAGGAGCTGACAGGGCATAAGAGGGGTGCGGGGGGGCTCTTCTCCGCAGCCCCAGCTGCTGCCCCGCAGGTCGGTGCCAGCCTTCTTCCTCTTGTTTAATAATTTACAGTACTAACGGCAGGGCTGCGTGGGGTATGGGTGAAGGAGAGTGTAAAGGTTGGAAAGCGCTGGGGAACATGCCTGGGGATGTGGCCAGGCTGTGTGGAGCTCGTTTGCCGGGTGTTAGTGTTTCGGCCGAGGGACAGGCAGCACATCCCCAAAGGGGATCGCTGCTGGGGATGCAGATATGCACACAGGTCTCCCCCTAATCTGTAGGGCTTCTCGAGCGGCTGTGGGAGCTTAAAACCTGGTTGGGTGCTTCTCAGCATCACAGGTTTGAGCGGTGACAGTGACGCTTGCCTGTGGGTGCCAGGTCACTTCTGGGAGGCTTTGGTGGAAGGATGTCACCTCTCCTCCCCATGGTCTGGGCTGGTCTTTTGGGGCCCCCCTTATCAGTGAGAAGGGACAAGTGCTGGGGCTGATAGCATGGGGTTGCTGCGGGTGCCTTTGCATGGCAATGCACCCCTTCCTTGGCATTAAAAGGGGGATACAAGGGGGAGAGACCCCCTGCTTACAGGACCAAGGGTTTACCTGGGGCTGGGAATAGCACTGGTAGGATGCGGCCCCACGGTGGCTGTGTGGGATGGGGGATGTAGCTGTGCCTCGGCTCTGAAAACTTGTGGGTTATTATTAGTGCCGTAAACTGGGGATTAGCGTGTTTCCCAGCTGTGAGTGGGACCGGGAAGGGGAGACAATATCGGGATGTCATTAGAGAAGGGGGGGGGTCCCGGTGGAAATACCAGGTCGCAAAACAATGTGTTTGGCCCTGCCAAAGTGGGAGCGCGCTCCTTTGGGGGTGGGAGGAGAGGGGAGGGGGGGAAGCGAACCTGAAAGGCTCTGCCTTGGCCTGATGGCTCTTGCTGAGGGTGAGACAAAGGGCTGCCCTTTGATCCTGAATGCTGCTTCCAGGCACTGGTTGGCATTGCTGTATCTCCTGCCCACAGCATATCCCTGCCTCACCCTCTCACTCTGGAGGTGAGCTGCTTTGGCTGTCCCAAACCCTGTCCTGTTGAGCCCAGAGAGTAAAGAAAGGTTATTTCGTAAAAGTTGAGATTTTTAGGAAGAGCGAAAGCCCAAGGCAGCCTGCAGCACCTCTGTCCGATCCTATCAGAGCAGGGCATTTGGCTCCTGCTGTACCAGGGCCGCATCTCTGCAGGCGCCTACCCGAGAGCCTGACGCACGGTGTGACGCCGCTGCGACGAGGGAAACCCCGGCAGGCTGGGGAAGCTGCAAGTTGGGAGCATGTCCTCTGCCTCAATGCATCTGCAGGTGAAGCTTGGGAAATGGGGAGTGGGGTGCCCAGGTGGCTGCTCACTCCAGAGAGCGCAGGGCAATGCAGGTGAGCTCAGGTTGTGTTTGCAGGTGGGATGTCCCAGCCAGGGTTTAGTGAAAGATGTGCAATCTGGGGAATGCCAGCTGCATCTTAGCACGTGTAACGTGGGGTCTCTTTCCTTCTCTGCTTTCCCCAGCAGAGAGCTGGGGCTGACTCAGACTTGACCGCAAGCCCCTCTCTGCCTGCAAACCCCTCTCAAGCCAGCAGTGCCCAGCCAAAGCCTGGGAGCTTTGCTGGACCCATGGGCGCAAGACAGCGCACCGTTGCATGTGTGGGTGCTGGGTGCGTGTCCCAGCTCCGAGTTGCAATAGGCAGCCCTGTGCAGATATTTGTACCCAGCCCCACGCTCGTTATCCCTCTGCTCATTATCCTGCTGGGATGCTGTGCAGCTCCTGCCCCATGTGGGCAGGGAGCACGTGGCTGTGTACTCTTCCTGGGTGTCACCAGGGGAGGCTGCTGGCACAGCGGAGCCTGCCCCGGGGAGTCCTCCCAGACCTCCTGCCGCACTGTAAAATATGGCAGCCAGTTGTGGGCAGTGGCTGGAGCAGTTTGCTCCCATCCAGGTCTGTGTGGCTCCTGCCCCTCGGTGCTGCTGCCTCTCTCCGTGCTGCAGCGTTGGTTGTCCTCGGTCGAGCCTGGCACTGTCCTCACAGGGCAGATGATGGCCATGGTCCCCCCACAAGGTGCTTGGGTGGTTTGTCCTCGTAGGGTGGGATCTCTGCTCACGAGTGTTTGTGCAGCGAGGGTCTCTCCAGCATTGGGGTGGGGGTCTGCTGGGACCTGCTGCTCTGGGTTTTACCCTAAAAGGTGTCAGTGGACCCCAGCCCCTTAGGACTTCTCCGAAAGGCACTTGGTGATGGGGTGGCTTGCTGCCGGGCACTGGCTTTCCACCTACTCCATCAGCCCTGTCCCCGAACTGGGTCGGGTCGGGTGGGAAGGGGAGTGGGGTGGTGGCGGCGGTGAAGTACAGGCGGCTTCGGTGAGTCACCAGATTAGAGCGTCTCCCTTCCCGGTCTCCCCTGGGTGACGAGTGTCAGCAAACACCACCCTGACTCACCTGCTGGCGGTAGCGGCTCCCGGGGCTGCCGCCTCCTTTCTGAGCCGGGGTGAGAAGCCTGCTCTGGGGGTTCCTTGCCTGAAGGCTTTGCCAACTGAAAGCAGCTTTCCCGGGCTGCAGTTCCTCCCCTCTAATCAGGGACCAGTGACTGCACAGGGTTTTATTCTCCTGCTGTCACTTGTGGCCTCCATCCAAAATTTCTAATCCACTCCCCCACTAATTGATCCCCCCCCAGGCCCTGCAGTGGCCCCAGCCAGAAGGAATTTGCTGGCAGCCCAGAGCCATGGTGCGTGCCTGGGGTACGTGCCCACAGCTTCTGCTCTTTGCAACCCTCCCCGTGTCAGCCCAGATAAACTGAAAGCCCCCCCCCCGCTTCCTCAATTACCCCAGGAAGGTGGGGGGCAGCTCTGGCGTCATGCCCGTAGGTGGGACATGGGCTTTCGAGGAGCCACGTGTGCAACCTCCCGTGCCCCGTGGCAGCATCCCGAGTCCTCATGTGGGAGCACGTGTGTGCCCGGCACGCCTGCCTGCGGCACACGCCGTGCCTTCCCGGCCCTGGCGCCGGCATGAGTCAAGCAGCAGGGGTTAGCCAGATTTTCCATCCGTCCCGCCGGAGATGTTGGGCGGGAATCGGGGCTGGGAGATCCCAGGATCCTGCTGCTTCGTCAGGGCTGGGTGGGGATGCCTGGGCGTCTCTGCCAATGCATCCCCTCCCTGCAGCCGTGGGGTGTAGTCGCAGCAGAAAGGGGGGTGCATGGGCGTGGGAATGGGATTCATCCTGCTGCTTCCTCCTGGCTGGAATGACACGGAGCTGGTGGCGAGGTGTCCCCTGAATGGGAGGGCTCGGTCCCTCCAGGAGGGCATCGCTGCCAGGCTGCTCCAGGCACCAGGATGTGACCAGGGCTGGGTGTTACAGCCGCCTGCCCGGTGCATCTCGGGAGCTGGCAGCAGCCCCACAGGCCATCTTAAGGTGGAGAGCAGGGGGGCTCGGTGCGGGGCTCCATTAAGGTGGTGCTGGGCAGGGGAAGCTGCTCTCACCTTGGACCCCATCAGCTTTTTAATAGCTTTAATGCAGGGGGTGGCCGGGGAGGCAGTGGGGTGAATTGCTATCTCCCATTGCTGGCTCATGCCCTGTGATGGGAGAGCTGTGAAGGCTGCTGTGCTCACAGTCCCCCCCTGCCCTAGGGCAGGGACTCGGGCTCCCCTTTTGCTCCCCTTTTGCTCCCCTCTCTCCAGGGTTGCTGCATGCAGCTAGGGGGGAGCAGCAGCCCAGCTCAGGGCTGCCCTGCTCCTTTTCTCGTTCCCACCACCCCTTTTTGGCAGGTCCAGCCCTGTGTCTCCTCCACCAGCTCCCCGCAGGAGCTGGCTTGGCCGTGCTGCCCCAGCCTCTGCGGCCGTGGCATGTCTGTGGGGCTCGGCCGAGCTCAGAGACGCTCCTGCTGCGCCGAATCACTTTCTGCGGTGGCTGCTCCTCCGAGCTGGCAGGAGAAGAGGGATCAGGTGGCTCCGACAGCTCCGAGCGCCGCTCGCGGTGCCAGATTTATAGCTAATTTGATGCAGCATGTAAACAAGCCGGCCAGTGCCAACTGGCATTAACTGGCACTCGGGCGCTTCGTGAGGCTGCAGCACCGGGGAGAGGCAGCTCGGTGTGCTCGCCCTGGCCCCCATGCGCTCTCCTGTCCGTGGCTCTGGCAGCGTCCTGCCACGCTGGTTGCACGTCCCCTGCTCTGTGGGTGACAGAAGCAAAGCTCTGCCTTGGATCCCCCCTGCCTGCACCTCGTGCCCCCCATGCAGGCAGGGAGCTGCTCCTTGCGGGGTTCCCACTGGTGCTGGTGGGGAGCTGCGGGGCAGCAGTGGGGTTTGCCCTCATCTCCGTCTCTCCCCTCTCCAGGCCTGTCCGGGAACCCGACCGACCTGGAGAAGAGGCGGCAGGTCTTCGGCCAGAACTTCATTCCTCCCAAAAAGGCCAAGACGTTCCTGCAGTTAGTGTGGGAGGCACTCCAGGACGTCACGCTCATCATCTTGGAAATCGCAGCCATAATCTCCTTGGGCCTGTCCTTCTACCACCCTCCGGGTGGTGACAATGAATGTGAGTCCCTGGGGTCCCTGTGGTGGGTTGGGGTACCCGATGGGGGACCCATGTGAGCTGCCATGCCCAGCCATGTGGGAGCAGGGCTTTGGGACAGGTGCTGTCTCTGGAAGGTCACCCCATGGGTTCCTCCACCCTGGTGCAGATGGAGCTGGGAGCTACTTCTGCTCACCCTTTAGGCAGTGGCTTCTCCCCGTCCGTGGGGTCCTTGCCATGGTCCCATCAAGGGACCTGCCCTGATGGATGTGTCCGGGCGCAGCTGGCACCATGGCATGGCTCAGAGCTGCTCCTTGCTAATCCCCCAAAAGATGCTCAAAGGTCAAGGGCTCTGTCTGGTCTGGTGGCTTCCCAAGTCCCGTGGGGCTTCTCTTTTGGTTTGGGCATGGAGGGACAAGACTGTCTGTCCCTTGGTACCTCCCCCTGATCAGGGAGTGCTCCTCACAGCCGTGACATCCCACATGTGGCTGAGCAACAGTGTTGGGTGAGTTTCTCCTCCCCAGTCCTGGATCTCTGTATCGTTGGAGGAGTCGAGCAGGGGCAGGGATCCGGAGATGCAGGGAGATGGTGACTCACTTGAGGGTCATGCAGCAAAGGGAGGGCTGGGTGCTGCAACTGGAAATAGAAGCCAGTTGTCCCGGCTTTCTCAGCCCAACCTCTGCCAAAAATGAAAAGTGAAAAAGAGGGGGGAAAAAAGAAACCCAAATGCCTCCAGGGATGTAAAAAACCTCTCCTGAGAGCAGGGGAAGCCCTTGGACCAGCTCAAGGAGGAGGAGGGAGGACTAACTGTCTTCCAGGCTCTGCTCTGTGCTGTTACTTGGAGGAAAGCGGGTGTCTCATTGTGCAAACGAGTTTTCTCCTCCAACTGCAGTGTGCGGCCAGTCGACGGGCGGCGTGGAGGACGAGGGCGAGTCGCAGGCCGGCTGGATCGAGGGGGCGGCTATATTGTTTTCAGTGATCATTGTGGTGCTGGTGACAGCTTTCAATGACTGGAGCAAGGAAAAGCAATTCCGGGGCCTCCAGAGCCGCATTGAGCAGGAGCAGAAGTTCACGGTCATCCGCAAGGGGCAGGTGATTCAGATCCCGGTGGCTGAGATCGTGGTGGGAGACATCGCGCAGATCAAGTATGGTGAGTGGGGGTGGTGGTGGCTGGGCTCTGTCCCTCCAACTCGGAAGCGTGACGGTTCCTCCTCCCTGCTTTGCCAGCCGTTTTTCCTTGGAAGGCAAAAGGGGAAGCATTAGCTCCTCCTGTTACTCTGTTTTGCAGCGTGCCATGGCCGGGAGCGATGGGAGATGCTCCTGTGCAGGTGATGGAGCTCCACTCACCTTGCCACTTGCCAGCCTGGACCTGGGCTGGCAGAGCTAAGCCAGGCTCTGCACACAACTTTGGGTTGCTTTAGCAACCTGCTGGTCTCAAAAATGATTCATTTTCACAACCATGTCCTTGTTGGTGAACATTTCTTTAGCAAGGAGATGTAGCCTATGGGCTAAACTAGGTCCTGCTCCTTGTTTACCAGGGGATATGCTCATCCCGTGCAACTCCCATCAGGAAGGAGATTGGTCCAACATGGTGTTCATTTTCACGTAGGGCTTTTACCTTCCTTGGCAGGTGGATGGTGGGATTGTGTGACAATTTGGATGTATCAGGAGGCTTTGGGAAGGATGTGGTGTTGATTCAGTAGAACCAGATGGGGGAAGCACTGTCTGATTGAGCAAAAGTCCTCACAGCGAATGCTTTCACACATCAGTGAAGATTTTGGAGCTATTGGATATCATCTTATAACACCCATCTGTTGCTTCTCCTCTCCCTAGATTTGGTTTGAGACTGAGTTTTGAGTCCTTCTGCTGACACACGAAGCCTCTTCCTGGGATGGGGCAGGCAGGGGTGAGCTGCGGCTGCCGGGCTGGGGCTGACCCCCACACTTTGCTCCCCTCCTAGGTGATCTCTTGCCTGCAGATGGGATCCTGATCCAGGGCAATGACCTGAAGATAGACGAGAGCTCACTGACCGGGGAGTCAGACCAAGTCAAGAAATCACTGGATAAAGACCCCATGCTGCTGTCAGGTGAGGATCCCGGGTGGCTCTCGTGTGGTGGGTGCAGGGCTGGGATGGGTTCATGCTGTGATGGAGAGATGGTTGCTCCTGAGTCCCATGTCCCGGTGTTGGGGAGGAGATGAGAACTGTGTGCCAGTGTCCTGTCTCACCATGGCCTTCCTGCTGTGCCAGGTACCCATGTGATGGAGGGCTCCGGCAGGATGGTGGTGACTGCTGTGGGTATCAACTCCCAGACGGGAATCATCTTCACTCTCTTGGGTGCGGGAGAAGGAGATGAGGAAAAGAAGGTGAAGAAAGGTAAGGAGATCCACTGAACCTGCTTTTTTCCTCCTTTTGCCTTTCTCCCTTTCCTGGGAAGCATCCACCGGTGTGCAACAAGCTACGCCCACATCCGTGGGACACGGTTGTGGGTTAGTGCCCGTGACCCAGGCAGGTACAGTGAGCTCTCAAGGCGGTGGGGGGGTTCCCTCCCTGCTGCCCCTTCACCCGCAGCGTGGGGATCGTGCTGCCTGAGGAAAGACCCCCATGCACCCAGACCTCTGCTCGCCAGCTCTTTCAGACACGGCTCCAACTCTCTCTTCTCCAGCCAGCTGCAGCCTGGAGTTGCAGGGTGGGGGGGTCAAGGCTCAGAGGGAAAAGTGGCCGATAACGATGCCCCGCGGTGTTGTGGCATGGTGCTCATTGCCTGCCCTGTGGTGGGAAGGTGAGTCCTGGTTGTCCACAGGGTGTTAGTAGCCCATCCAGAACCTTGAGGACTTCGCTGAAGATCTCTGCTGGCATCCGCAGAGCTCCCTGGGGAAGGAGGCGAGGCACAGAGGATGGCAAGAGGGAGAGGAGGGGTTGTGTGCTGGGGGGTGGAGGGTGGGAGAACAGCCAGGCAGGCTGAGGTGTTCCTGATCATGCTGGGACTCGAATGCTTTCCTGCCTTGGCTCTCACATCTTGCTACTTATTCCCCTGCTCTGTGCCAGCTCTGATACCAGCTTTAAAGCCAGCATTAGTACAAGCCAGGCTTGGGAAGCTCCTGCTTTCCCCTGTGTCCCCACACCCCTGTTCAGCAGGTCTGGGCTCACTGGGAGCAGCCGCGAGGTGCGAGGAGCTGGCAGAAGGGAGCTGCTGGCTGGCATCGCTGGCTGCACAGGCGTCCCTGCGCCGGGGAGCCCTTCCCGGGAGGCGATGCCAGGCAGGGAGAGGCTTGCTGGGCCTCTCCTGGCAGCCGTTTCAGCGCTGGGCCGTATGTGCATTGGGTTTCTCCAGCTCCGCTTGCCCGGGGCGGGCGGCTGGCTCGCATCACTGGAGTTCGGTGGCTGTGGAGCTCTTGGGGTTTAGGTGCCAGCTTGGAGGTGGGAGTACAGGGTAAGACGTGGGAATGGCACTGCTGTTGGAGCTGAGCAGCAGCTCACCAGGCACCCGGGCATGGTGTTCGGTGTTTTCCCAGCCTTCAAGCTCTGTCACTCAACCCCACAGCAAACTCAGCTCTGTGCCTTGCAGCCCTCGATTTGGGAGCAAAGCGAGGCAGGGGGCTTCACCGGCTCATCCCCCACCGTGGTGCTGGGGGTTGATGGGGAGAAGGTATATAAACCCCTTATCACTCAAGGCTTGTTTAGACTGCAGCAGCCCTGTGCTCCCTGTGTTGTGGAGGCACGTTGGGGACCCCCATGTGCAGACGTTGCCCATGACAGACACGGGTGTAGTGCTGCCCATGGCGGGGGACAAGTGTGTGCCTCCTGGGAGGATCCGCTTGCACCCGATGGCAGCGGGAGGTAGGGAGCACCGGTGCTCGGCACGTGCTGCATGGAGGTCGAGCTCTGCTATATGGTTTCTTCTCCCTGAAGGTCTGAGACACCATTGGCACCCTTTGGAGCACTGATAGGGGTGGTAGTGGGTGCTTTGCAGGTGGGGAAGTCTGAAGCCTTGGGGACGGGGTGCCTGGGGAAGCTAGTGAGCTCCGGAGCCTCCCCGGTGCCGCGAGTTGTGGACCAAGGCACGCGTGGTGTCCAGAGGGTGACCGCAGGGTTCTGAGCCCTGTGCACGGATGCTGCTGGAGCGGTGCGCAGCCCCTCGGAGCAGGGCCAGCCCCAGCCTGTCCCACCAGCTGGATGGTGAACATGGGTCCATGTGCTCAGCCCTACACCCTTTCTCTCTTTGAACAGGTAAAAAAACTGGAGCCCCCGAAAATCGCAACAAAGGTAACCAGCCTCTCCATCCTTTGAACCAGCACCACACTAACTACCGAGCATTCCTCCTTCCTTCCTTCCTTCCTTCTTCTCATCAGTCTGTGCTCTTTGCTGCTCCGGCGGGACTCTCGCCTCGTTGTCCTGGGAGAGGGTGCAATGGTCCTGCAGCCGGTGGCCCTGGCACGGCTTCGTGGTGCCCTCTGACACCCCACCACGGGGCTGTGCATAGCTGGGATGGGGCCAGCCGGCTTCCCCTGTGGTCACGTTGCCCCTGTGTGGGGCAAAGCCTTTGTGCAGGGAGGACAGGGCTCTTCCAGAAGCCTGGACCATTGGCAGAGCATCCCTTTCTCAAAGCAAGCTTCATGACACAAGCTGCAGCCGTGACCTGGTGGCTCTGAAGCCCTTGTGCCCGTCAGAAGCCGTCCCTTGGCAGGGTTTGTGTTTGGGCACAGCTGGGGGAGAGATGTAGGTCCCCTCCGGCTGTTTCTGGGATGAAATGTCCCATGGGGCCTGGCCAATGCGATGGTTGCACCCTCTCCTCCCATGGCCTCGACTCCGTGAGCGTCTCCTCGCCAGTGTTTCTCACACTGTTCTTTGCAGGCTGTGGAGGAAGCCCATTTCTGCACCTCTCTCTCCACCTCTCTCTCTCTTTCTCTTTCCTCTCAGCAGTTTGAGTTTCCCTCCTTCCTGTCAGACTGTGTCCGGGTGCTTGTTTTGTCCGTGTCGGGTCTGTTGTAACCGTGGAGGTGTCCGATGTGGAGCAGCCACGAGCTCCGGGGTGTCTCGAGGCATCGAGCGGTGGCAGCTAGGAGGGGACAGGTCCCGGGGTGGCCATGGGCAGCTATGGGGCCATTGCTGCTCCTCCAGCCCCGACGGCTGAGGAAGAGCTTCTCTGGGGGGTTGCCACCCTCTTCCCATCCCTCTCCAAAACTTCCAGCTGACCCAGGTCTTCCCGGCACAGACCTTCAGCTGGACTAGACCAATTATAGCAACTGAAAGCCTGGCTGTCTCAGGTCCTAAAAATGTGATGGATGGCTCAGGGCTGGGATTCAAGGAGCTGGCTTTACTCCTCTTCAATCTCCATCCAAATTTCTAACCGTCCCCCTCCATCTCACTCCCTCAGTCACTCCCCTGGCAAGTGATTCCTGCTGAGCTGCCCACAGGGCACTGCAGAGGTGGCACCGGGAGGGAGTGGGGATGCTCCTCAGGGGACTGGGGGGACCGGAGCCTCTCTGGGGTCAGCCCAAAGTGCTCCCCATCTGCTGTAGGGTGTAAAGCAGCCCACAGGGGAGGCTAGAAGAGACCTGCCTCCACCCCAAAGCCTGGCCAGAGGGTTTCTTGCAGCGCTGCTTTAGAGGTGTGACCGGTGCAGGGGTTACATCGCCAGTGTCAGCTCTGAGGATCCTTTATCCGTGGGGCTGGGGTAGATGGCAGAAAACTGCCCTGTAGAGAGGTGGCAGGGCCCTGGGATACAAGGTTTCCATGTGCTCGGATGCGTGTGTCGTCGGGAATGGTTCTTGTTCTGGGTTTTCTCTCTCTCTCCCACCACCATCTTTCTCAGTGGTGTCCTACAGGTTTTTCTGGTCTCTCTCCTATTCACACGTGGTGTCTTATTTTGCCCTGGGCTGTAGCTAAAACTCAGGATGGTGTGGCCTTAGAGATCCAGCCCCTGAAGAGCCAGGAAGGGGTGGAAAATGAGGAGAAGGAGAAGAAGAAGGTGAAGGTGCCCAAGAAGGAGAAGTCTGTGCTGCAAGGGAAGCTGACACGCTTGGCGGTCCAGATTGGGAAGGCGGGTGAGTGGCGGTGGCCTGGCACAAGCTGTCACCCCAGAGCTCTCGCTGGAAGTGGCATGGTGAGAAGGGGCTGTCCCCTTCCCCTGCATCCCCTCACCTGCCACTCTGCCTCTTCCCCCAGGGCTGATCATGTCGGCCATCACGGTCATCATCTTGGTGCTGTACTTTGTGATCGACACGTTTGGGGTGCAGGGGCGGCCCTGGCTGGCGGAGTGCACCCCCATTTACATCCAATACTTTGTCAAGTTCTTCATCATCGGTGTCACTGTGTTGGTGGTGGCTGTGCCCGAAGGGCTTCCGCTGGCAGTCACCATCTCCCTGGCCTACTCTGTGAAGGTGAGACCACGATACAGCGGGGTCGCTGGGGGCTTGATGGGGAAATTCAGGCTTTTGGCTCTGACCTTCCTGGTCACGGTGCTTGTTGCAGAAAATGATGAAGGACAACAACCTTGTGAGACACTTGGATGCATGTGAGACCATGGGCAATGCCACCGCCATCTGTTCGGACAAGACAGGCACACTTACCATGAACCGCATGACTGTGGTGCAGGCCTACGTGGGGGACACCCACTACCGCCAGATCCCTGACCCCGAAGCCATCCTGCCCAAGATCTTGGACCTCATAGTCAACGGTGTCGCCATCAACTCTGCCTACACGTCCAAGATCCTGGTGAGTTGGAGAACCACAACCTCATGTCTTCTGGCCTTCCCAGTGTTGGCCATCCCTGCAGCTCCCACCCTACCATACTGAGGTTTGACATTGCTTTTTCTTTCCCTTATTCCGCTCCAGCCACCTGAGAAGGAAGGGGGGCTGCCCCGGCAAGTGGGGAACAAGACCGAGTGTGCCCTGCTCGGTTTTGTGCTGGACCTGAAGCAGGATTACCAGGCTGTGCGGAATGAGGTGCCAGAGGAGAAGCTCTACAAGGTCTACACCTTCAACTCGGTGCGCAAGTCCATGAGTACGGTGCTGAAGAATGGCAATGGCGGCTTCCGCATGTACAGCAAGGGAGCTTCCGAGATCATCCTCCGCAAGTAACTGTCCTCCCTCGCTGTGCCGGTCCTCTCCCCATCACACGGGCTTTAGGCTCTCGATGCACCATGGAGCTGTTCTGGGGGGCCGTGGGGTGAAGGGTGCCCAGCTGCTGTGAAGTGGGGAGGTGACTATCAGAGGTGCTGTCATGCAAAGTGTTTAACTCTTTTAGGGTGGCTTTTGTAAAGCTGTAGGGAGCTGTGGGTAAGGGGGATGCCCCTGTTTTGCAGATGGGGAACCTGGGTGAGGAGATAGCTGAGCCACCAGTGCGTGCCACTGCCGGTCTCCCTCACCCTCCATCCCGGTCCTGTTAGGTGCACCAGGATCCTGGACAAGAATGGTGACCCCCGTGTGTTCAAGGTGAAGGACCGGGATGAGATGGTGAAGAAGGTGATAGAGCCCATGGCCTGCCACGGGCTGCGGACCATCTGCCTGGCTTTCCGTGACTTCCCTGCTGACGCTGAGCCGGACTGGGATAGCGAGAATGAGATTCTGTCTGATCTGACCTGCATCGCTGTGGTTGGGATAGAGGACCCTGTGCGGCCAGAGGTACAGAACACCAGCTCTGCCTTGGCTATCCTCCGCCCCAGCCCTGTTCCTGGGCCAGGAGCCCCTTTCCCTGTTGCTCAGGACTACAAGCCCCTTATGAAAGCACGAGCACCTCCTCTGCATCCATCTCTGAAGTGCCCCACACTACCAGCTCTCTGCTGCTGGCGTTTTTCTCCCATACCTGGACAAAATGACCTGGTGGCAGAGTGTTTCCACCCAAACGTTCCCCCCAACTGCTCTGTGCGCAAGCCAGACTGGTTCTACGTGTAGTTGAGAGGTGCATGGTGACACCATGTAGGGGTGACAAAGGGGTGTTGGAGAGGGACAGGGCTGATCTAGCTCATTCCTCTCTTGCTGCTTGCTGCCCCGCTCTGCCTCCGCCATGGGGGTGACGGGCAGGCAGCTGGGCTAATGCAATAAGCCCTCCAAAACCTGCCTCTTGATTACATTTTGGAGCTTGCCCCTGCGCTTCTGCCTTACTTGCATCTTTCCTGATTAGATGTTCAAGTATCTGGGTTTGGGAATTGCATTACAGATGCCCTGTCTGCACTGGCTCTGGAGGCCATTGATTCAATTTGCTAATTTCTCACTAATATCCTCTTCCCCCACCGCTCCGTAATAGATAAACCCATTAGTGCAGCAACGTGCTGCTGGAGCAGTGCGGGGGGGGCGGATGAAATGCCCCCATTTTGATGGATCGCCTGGCCATGCCTCGGTGCACAGCACCGTGGCATGACGGGGAGAAGGCAGTGAGGTTGCCTTCCTCTTGGGGCAGGGGCTGGAAGATCTCATGCTGTCTGTGCTGGAGAAGCTGCCCCAGACATGCATGCAAGTCTGGCTGGAGCCGCAGCGAGGACAGGAGGCTGTGGTGCAGGAGCAGCCGGCAGCGAGAAGGGGCAGGCATCCTCTCTGGTCCCTGCTGGATTTCCCCTGCACCCCAGGGATAAATGACTGGGCTGCTTTTTGCCAGGGGGGCAGTTTTCAGTTCAGCATCTCGTCCCCAGTGTGAGCACTGAGCTGAGTTGTGGGTGGATGCAGGTTCCTGACTCCACCAGGGCCCTTTCCAGATCCTTTTAGGGAGGATGGGAGAGGAGCTGCTTGACTCCCAGGATAGCCAGTGCCAAACCTGAGCGCCTTGCCTGCCTGCCTGCCCGCCCCCCAACTCTGTCCTTGTCCCCCAGGTGCCAGACGCCATCCTGAAGTGCCAGCGTGCGGGGATCACTGTCCGGATGGTGACGGGCGACAACATCAACACCGCCCGTGCCATCGCCACCAAGTGTGGCATCCTGCTGCCAGGGGAGGACTTCTTGTGCCTGGAGGGGAAGGAGTTCAACCGGCTCATCCGCAACGAGAAGGGAGAGGTGGGAGAGCAGCCCTGGGTCCTGCTCTGCAGCGGGTGTGGGTGGCCTCTCTGACAGCCCCAGCAGCGTAAGGTGCTGAATCCCACTGGGTTTTGCTCCTCTCCTTGGGTAAACGCAGCCGGTCCTGCTGCTTGCCGGGATCCTGAGCCAGTGCAGCCACAGGGGTGTCCGGGTGCTTGGAGGCGAAGGCGCTGTCCTGTCCCAGTTGGGGTTTGCTCTCCGGTGGGGCAGAAGGTTTCTGGGGGGGGGTCCCTTCCCTTTCACACATGTGCCTTGTCCTGCAGGTAGAACAGGAGCAGCTGGATAAGATCTGGCCCAAGCTGCGTGTGCTGGCCCGCTCCTCTCCGACAGATAAACACACGCTCGTGAAAGGTGAGCGCCTGTCAGCTCCCCCAGCTGCTACCTCTCACCAAAGTGTCTCTTTCTGCTCTGCCCGGGTTCTTTTGCAGCATAATCCGTGCTGGGAGCCTGCCCTTGGGGAGGGCTTATTTTCTCTGAACTGCTTGTCTCCATTTCAGGAATTATCGACAGCACTGTTGGTGACCAGAGGCAGGTGGTGGCCGTGACCGGGGACGGGACCAACGATGGCCCAGCTTTGAAGAAAGCCGACGTTGGGTTTGCCATGGTATGGACGGGCGATGGGTTTTCCCTGGGGTTGGCCTTCACTCTCTGGGATGAGAAACTAAATGGCACACGCTTGGTTGTTTTCAACACTGAAATTATTTCTGGACTGGTGAAACTCTTTTCCAAATCCACAGGATGCCTTCAAAAGAAAAAAGAAACTTTCTTTGGAGGTTTGATTTAATTCTCATGAACTTTATAGGACTGTTAGCAAAAGATTGATGGGAAGCAATCCTCTGAGAGCCTGGCTTAGGGCTGGGCTCCTCTGTCCCACCTGCAGGGACTGTGTCAAGCTGAAGGTGATGCAGCACTTGCAGAGCATCCAGAGCAGGGATCTGCCTGGCCCCAGTTTCTGCGCTGTGGGGTCCAGGAGAGCCGTGGGAACGCAGTAACTCGGTTTGGTACCCCTGCAGTTCTTCACCCAGGCTCGTAACAGGCAGCCCAGGCTCCAAGTGCGGTGCTGGCTGACTTGGGGAGTTTATTTATGGTGAAAAACTCTTATCTCCTGGTTTGCTGCTTTTCTTTGCCCTGTCTGAAAGCAGGAGGAAAATAAACCTGTTGGTTTTAACAGGTTTCCTGTGAATTGTTTAAGTTTAGGTACGTGAGCAGGAGCCAGCTGCTGGGTGGGGCCTTATGAGCCCATGTAGGGAGCTTTGAGCAAATGAGAAATTTTTGGGGAGTAGAGGTTTTTAGGAAGGTGTTAGACATCCAAGTGCAATTCTGGAGCCTTTGGAACAAACAGCAGAAGGTAGTCTGTCTTCTCTTGGGGACTGTACAGCGGGGCTCCCTGCCCCCATGTGCAGGATCAGACCCTGGCCAGGCACGGGGCTTCGCTGCGGGGTTGGCACCGGAGCTGCGCTGCCCTTGGATCTCCAGAGAGTGGGGAACAAACAGCACATGCGATAGCTCTGTCCAGCTGCCTCCGAAGCTCATGCTCAGCAACAGCCGGAGGATTCCCGTCTGAGATGGGTCTTGCAAATATCAAGAGAGCTTCTCCGGGAAAGCACCATGGAACCAGCTGGTTTCAGGCATTGCTGTAGCGCATTTAATAACTGGAAAGCGAGCGCCTCTGTGTGCTGGTGGTGAGAAACGCAGCAAGCCCAGCTCCTGGGGAGCAAACTGCATCTTTCTGAGATGCTGCAGGTGACTTTTGGGAGGCTGTGGGCAGCCCTGCTTGCCGCAGGACTGCCGTCCACCCCGGACAGGGCAGAAGGCACCAGGAGGGTGCCGGGACTGCGGGCTGTTGAGCTCTCTCTCTCTCATTTTGGGGGTCCCAACCCTCACTTGCAGCAGAGATGCCCAGCCAGGGATGCCTGTGTTCCCTGACATAAGGAGGAAGCCGTGCTTATAAGCTGTTTTCCAGCTTTGCTGCGTTGTGGCCCCTGTCTGGGGCATGCACAGCAACAGGCTGTAAAACTGTGCTGACTTGGAGTCCCACTCTGGAGCTGAGCTGGTGTCCGTCCTTGAAGGCTTTGCTGCTTTGGAGCCTCTCTTGGGCACATCGGCACAACTGCAGCAGGACTCGCTGTCAAATGCAGGACTGGCACCAGCTCCTCTGGCTCCAGTGGATTTTTCTCCTGGGACAGTTTCTGGGAAGAAGCGGAACTGGGCAGCCAGCAAGTGTGGACCTTGCTCCGTGACTCACCCCATTGCTTTCTCCCTGGTCCTCAAGGGCATCGCAGGCACGGATGTGGCGAAGGAGGCTTCAGACATCATCCTGACGGATGACAACTTCACCAGCATTGTCAAGGCAGTGATGTGGGGACGCAACGTCTACGACAGCATCTCCAAGTTCCTGCAGTTCCAGCTGACTGTTAACGTTGTGGCTGTCATTGTGGCCTTCACGGGCGCCTGCATCACGCAGGTATGGGGCTGCTGGGCTCGGCAGGAGGGCTGAGGCTCCTGCAAAACAAGGAGTGAAGAGAGGGCAGTTTTGGTGGTGTGACGTGTTCTCCCTCCCTCTGCAGGACTCTCCCCTGAAGGCTGTCCAGATGCTGTGGGTGAACCTGATCATGGACACCTTTGCCTCCTTAGCCCTGGCCACAGAGCCTCCGTCTGAGTCCCTGCTGCTGCGCAAGCCGTATGGCCGCAACAAGCCACTCATCTCCCGCACCATGATGAAGAACATCCTGGGGCATGCGGTGTACCAGCTAACTATCATTTTCACGCTGCTTTTTGCGGGTGAGCTTTGAGGCCCCAAGAAATGGCAGGGGGAAAAGGAAAGGGGCAGAGTCCGAGCCCTGCCTCGCAAGCCACCTTTCCTCACCAGTGTTGGGGACACTTGTTCTCAGCTGTCACTCGGTGACCTCATGGTGGCCAGGACAGAGCTTATTTAATAATGGATTGGAAGCAGAGGAGTGATAAGGAGAGGATTTTTTGCTCGAGAGCTTGCTGGGTGCAGAGACAGTTTTAGCCAGGGAAGCAGCTTTTCAACATTTTTAAGGAAATAAGGGTGCAGTGGGGCTAACATGGGGGACTCCAGCTGGGTCAAGGGATCTTCAGCAAGAGCCTGGGATGCTAATTCCGCCTGCAGTGGCGTGGAGCAGAAGTAAGGAGCAGGATCTAATCTTCTCCTCTCTTCTGTGCCCTTCCCCATCCCCTCCCCAAAACCCCTTGTCTGCTTAGGGGAGAAGTTTTTTGACATCGACAGTGGCCGAAACGCCCCACTCCACTCCCCGCCCACTGAGCACTACACCATTGTCTTCAACACCTTTGTCATGATGCAGTTATTCAATGAGATCAACGCACGCAAGATCCACGGGGAGAGGAATGTCTTCGAGTCCATCTACCGCAACCCTATCTTCTGCACGGTGGTGCTGGGGACATTTGCAGCCCAGGTGAAGCTGTGGGAATAAGATGGTGGGGCTGGGAGGGGACCATGCCACAAGTGGGACCAGTGTCTGCTGCAGTCACTGCCCACAGCTCTGTTCTGTCCCCTTATTCTCCTCCAGTAGCTTCTTGGTGACACAAAACCTGAATATCGGGGTCTAGAGTGTGTTGGGAGATGCCAGAGCTGGCCAGGCAATGTGGCTCTGGTGTCCTGTAAAGTTAGCAGCCTAGATGTGAGATCCTTTCTCCTCTCATGATCCCAGGGAGGGAGGAAAAGATGTGTGGCCCTAGGGGACCTTTTCATCCCATGGCTGTGCTACAGAGCCCTGGGAGCTCCCCAGTGTGTGACTTGTTCTCTCCTGTGCTGTAGATCATCATTGTGGAGTTTGGTGGGAAGCCGTTCAGCTGCTCCGGGCTCACCCTGAGCCAGTGGTTCTGGTGTATTTTTATCGGAGTGGGAGAGCTCCTCTGGGGCCAGGTAAGAGCCAGTCTGAAAAACATATCATGTGCCTCCATGCCACAGCGTGCTCGCAGCCCAATCTGCCTCTCCCTTCCTGCTGCCTCGCTGCCCTTGTTCTCCCCGGTATTTATTCAAGGAAGCTTTGGAAGGGCACCCCCTTCAAAAGTACCAAGCCAGCAGTGAGGAGAGGAGGCTGCTAATCTACTCCTCGTGCCCCACTGTGAGCAGGGTGGGAATATCTAGCGGTGGCATGTCTCGGCTGCCTTCTGGCATCTCTCAGCTGAGTCCCTAGCAGCTCACTGCAGGAATGCTCCCTCTTGGTCAAGGCTGGCGGTGGGCTCCGTGCTGCCAGAGCCTGCAGGCTAAGGAGCTGCTCTCTCCCTGCCTCTCCCCAGCTGATCTGCACTGTCCCAACCAGCCACCTGAAGTTCCTGAAAGAAGCTGGGCATGGCATCACCAAGGAGGAGATCCCAGAGGAGGAACTGCCTGAAGACGTGGATGAGATCGACCATGCCGAAATGGAGCTGCGGCGCGGGCAGATCCTGTGGTTCAGGGGTCTCAACAGGATACAGACGCAGGTACTGTGGGGCAGTGGGTACTGTGGGGCTCTTCCTTCTCTCTCTCTTTCTTTCTCTTTCTTTCTCTCCAGGGGCTGTCTGGAAAGAGGTGACGGCTGCTGCTCGGAGGATGCCATCACCTCCTGGGCTAGACTTCTCCCACCACCTGTGCCTTTCTGGGTCTGCCCTGGTTGGGGAACCAGGACAGCCTGGCTTTCGGGGACAGCTCAGGGTGGGGGGAGGCACTGGTCTGTTCTGATGCAGAGCACGGTGTCCTGCAGCCTGAGGCCAAGCTGGTCTGCAGGAGGCTGGATGCACTGCTGATGGGCACCTTGTGCAGCAGAGGAGGGTGCTCGGAAGCTGCAGGGGGGGGCCATGGAGCCGCCTGGGCTCTTACTGAGTTGTGCAGCTAACGGGTCAGCATTGAAGCTGCTCTTGGTCACTGCTGGGATGCCAGTCCCAGTGGGGAACGTGCTCAGGAGGGATCTGCCTGCACGAGACCCTCTCTGGTCTTGCTCCTCTGCTGCTCTCTGTCCTTCCTGGTGGCCCTTTGGCCAAGGGCTCTTGCCACCCCTCCCTGCCAGCTCTCCAGGCTCCTCACCTGGAGCTCTTGGCCCCACAGCACAGAAGGGGAGGAGAATCTACCTGTTAATACGATTTTCACATCAGCTGTTTCTCCCCGACTTGTTTTTCCTGAAAGGGTGTTTTGGGTTTTTTTTTAGCCCCCAGACTGCTGGCTGGGCAGGGCAGGGAGACCTCCCTGCAGAGAAGTCACTCCCCCTTGTCTTTCCTTGAGGCCTGGGCAGAGCTGCCCCATGGAAGAAAGCTGTAGGTCCCCAGTGGCCCCTGGCATTCAGGGCTGCTGCATTACCTTTCGTTCCTCCTCCTCTGGGTCTCTGACAAATGGACATAACCAAAATGGCCCAGACACAGGGACTGGAGTGAGCACAGCAGCCATGTTGTGCCATGTTAACTTTGCTTCTCCTCTGTGAGATGTTGCCTTGATGGTTTCAAGGCGAGGTTCAGCCTTGATTCCCTGCCCGTTGCGAGTGGTGAGGGGCAGCTGGGCTCTTCTGGGCCCCAGGGCAGCGCTGCTCGCTGGCGCTGCTGCGGGGGGGCTGAGCTGCCTGCTCGGTCTGGTTCATTCACATGAAAGATGTGCTGAGAGCCCAGGGCTGTTTCAGATGCGGTCCAGACATGTCGGAGGTCTGGTAGGTATGGACCGCTGTAGTACCAGTGGCCAGGCGTGCTGCTGGGGCTGAGCCTGGAGCCTCTGAGGTATCTCCCTGCAGCTGTGGTGGACCTGGGCTGAAACGAGCTCTTGCTCTCGCAGCATAAACCCTCCTGGACACTGGCATGTCCTGGAGTCTCTTTAGCAACTCCTTTTCTGGCTGTGGTGCCCTGTGCATCAAGCAGAACAGCCGGCAGGTCCAACTCGAGCGTCTTGAGGCTTCTGTCTGACTCGTGTCTTAAGCGAGAGCACGGGCCTCTTCCCCGCGGGCCAGCCTGGTGTGCTGGGAAGAGTCCCTCTGTGGAGGGAGATCAAACTGGGGAAGGAGCGAAGCAGTGTGTAAAATACCTCCAGGGTGAGCTAGAGCTGCACAAGGTCTGGAGGAGGTGTCCCTTCCTGAGGTGGGCAAGCCGGGGTGGTACAGGGCTGTGCGCTCTGCCAGTGGGCTGGCTAGCACGGTGCTGGGGACAGGCCAGCTGCAAAGTGTCTGGGAAGTCATGCTGGCACCTGGATGCTGCTCGGTGCACATCCACAGAGCAACTGTGGCCCACCACCAAGGGTGCTTCCTTGCTGCATCCCTGCCCGCCCCTACCAGCTCTGCTTCGGAGCCCTGTGCAGAGCCCTGAGCTTGGGGGAGAGGCTGAAATGTCTTCCAGCATGGCCGGCTGCCATGGGAGCTGCGGGCACATGGTGCGTCCCAGGATTCAGCCCCCGAGGTGTACGTCCCGTGGGGCTGAGGGACCAGAAGCCCTTTCCCAGTGCAGTTTTCTGGACCACCGGCTGCCAGCTCGCACCTCTGCCCACCCTCTCTCTTTCTCTGCTCCTCCTGCAGATTGTCGGGATAACCTAAGGTGTTTCCTCTATCGCTCCCTCCCACCGCAGTCTCTTTCTTGGTGGTGGGATAAACCCTGCCCCTCTTGCACCTGCGAGAGTGGGGCAGAGTCTGGAAGCCGACCTCTCCTCTGCTCCCAGAAACACCAGCTGAACCCGGTGTGGGTTTATGGGAGAGTGGGGTGGGGGGGCTCTCTCCTCCCTCCTCCCCACCTCTCTGCCCTCCTTCTTCCTTCCTGTCCGTGTGTGTCTGCCCAACCTCCCTGCTCCCCTCCATCCCCGACCCCTCTCCCTGTCTCTGGCCGGGGCAACGCTATCTCACTCTCTGGTTCTTTGCAGATGGACGTAGTTTACACATTCCAGACCGGCGCCTCCTCTTTGCAGGGAGCCCTCAGGAGACAGCCTTCCATCGTGAGCCAGCACCACGATGTAAAAAATGTTTCTAGCCCAACCCATGTAGCTCTTTCCTCCGTCAATTCCACTCCCACCACTTCTGCTGTTGCTGCTGCTGCTGCATCTCCTCCTGCGGGCAGTGAGTGATAGTCTATTACAATGCATGACTTCTAATAACCACAGAGAGCACCTGCACCAACCTAACCCAGCCTGTTCTCTCTCCCTCTAAACTTTGACTCGCACCCTGATTTCCCAAATGAAGGATGGGGCGGGAAAGCGTTTAAAAAAAATAGTTTTTATGCTGTTGCATCTTTAACAAGTTTACGACACTTTCTGGTCCTTCCCCCTGCCCCCCCCTTCCTTGTTGCTTCCTACATTTTTACCTCTTCTCCTCCTTTGCAGGACTGATGTATGAGTCCACCCTCCTGAGGGGTGCAAAAATGGGCAGTTCTTGTTAAAAGAACTGTGTTCATAAGTAACTAAAATCATTGCTGTGAAAAGGGCATGCTGTGCCCAAAAGCTGCCGTTTCTTTCCGATGCGGCCCTGCTCAGCCCCAGGATGCCCCAGGCGGGCAGGGATGGGCAGAGGCATTGCTTTACCAAAGCTGTAAATCTGTTTTGGAGGCAGAGTGGCCACTCGGACCTTCCCACAGCGGTTAGTGTGCTACTGGGATCGGCTGAGCTGCAGTAATGGGTTGCCTGTGTGCTCTCTGCCTCTTGCAGGCATGTGAGAAGGGCTGTTTGCTCCTGCTCTGGTTGGGAGGCTGGACAGTGCGTGAGAGCAGCCGGTTACCATGGCTCAGCTGGCCGGTGGTAACGCATCGGAGCTGCTCGGAGCCGCTCACCTGCAGCTCAGCCTGCTGTTTCAGAGCTGGCTTGTAAGCAAGCAGCCCCTCCTGTCCCGCCTGTGAACTTGCATGCTGTGCGAGACAGAGCTGAGCGAGCCTGTGCACTTAAGCGTGCTATTTGCTGCCCTGGAGCTCTGCAGGGATGGCACAGGGCTCTGCTGGTCCCTCATTGTAGCCGGAGCATCGCTGCCCAGTTGCAGTGGTTCATTGGTGCCCAGCTTGTTCTGCACACGCTGGTTCTCAATGTATGCAGAGACAGGCGACTCTCTGCATGCAAATGGAGATGGAAAACATGGCCCTGCTGAATATCAGTGGCAAAGCTGGATCCTGGATCTAACTGTGGGTTTCCAGACCAAAGAAAAGCCCTCTCTGGTGCAGTGCCCCTCTCTGTGTTCATTGTGAGCTGCGTATACTGGCTTGTGAGCACGTGAGTGTGAATTCTCTCTGCAGGGCTGTGCCAGGCTATGAGTAGGTAGTGTATCTTTCCTGGATAATTGGCTTTTTTTATTGCACAGTCATTTTCCGTGTTCTCCTCTTATTAAAGAAATACCCTTGGTGACTTTTTGAATAGCTTTCAGTCTCCACTGTTTATGCACTGTGGGAGAGAAGAGAGAATTTCTGATAATCTTGTTTTCTCTCTATTTAGCTGACACTGATGCTTGAATTTTATTTTGTTTAACCCCAGTGTTTCTGAAGCAGCACAGCTGCCTTCTGTTCCTGACTGCATCTGTGCACCACCAAGACTTTCTAATCGGAAGAAAACCTGTTTAGAGGGGTCTCAGGGTAGTGGGTTTGGGTGGACAAGACCAAAATGCAGGGTTTTTTTGCAGTCTGTGGATGAATGTTCTCCCTGATTTGCAGCAAGGGAATAGATAACTTGGATAGCTTGTGCCCTTCCAGGCAGCAAACAACTTTACCAGAAGCTAACCCAGGTCGCTAAGTCTTCCCTCTGTTTTCTGCCTAGGCTTCTCTCTATTTCCCTCTGCTGCTTCCCTTCCCTCTCTCTCAGAGCTCCAGTTCCCTCCATATGGATTAATGGTGTCCCTCTGTCTTCCACTGCACTTCTGTGGGATGAGTTCTCCAGGGCTGGACCTCGGTAGCCCTGCCTGCTGTGCCCCTGTTTGGGTGATGGAGGAGGGGGAGGTCTCAGGAATGACTCTCAAGACATGGTTTGCAGAGCTGAGTGGGTCTCCCTTAGGGGTTTTGCCATGGTTTGAGGGAGCTGGGCAAAGCAAACCAAGGGTCAGTGGTGGAGCTGATGCTGGCTTCACGCAGAAGGTGTAATTTCCATCTCCATGTGAGCAGTGGGGTTTGCCCAGCACATTGTGGTGCTGCAGTGATGGTGTGAAATGAGAATAAATTCTAAGCTTGGAGGTTATGCAGGTTGCAAAGGTTTCAGGTGGAGAGGAGGTGTGAGCCTGACCATGGGCAGGGAGGGAGGTAGGCTTTCAGCTTGGTTGAGGAGGATTTAATTTTTGTTTGTACTGCCTGGCTCATTCAAAACACATTTCCTTGCTGTTAAGTTCCTTTGACAAGGGAACAGCTGAATTAATTTCACAGCAGTTGCTGACAGAGATGGTTAAATCAAAGTAAGAAAATATGAGGAAAGCTGCAGCAGAAGAATATTGGTGGAGCTGAAAGCAGCGATGTGGTAGATAGGGTTTGGGTTCACCAATGCATGTGGTGGTAGGGCAGGGAGGGCTTCTGTGAAGCTACTCCTTCCTCTAAGCCTGTACTAGACTGACCACCTAGTTGCTTTGGCAGTCACCTAGGCTCTCGTTAGCTTGTTTGGGTTGGTTATACTTGGTTTAGTTGGTTTTGTACACTGTATTTTAGGGGTCAGTGCTTGCAGTTGCTGTTCTCAAGATGTTGATGGTGTGACAGATTATCAGTCTTGGTAGAAGGTGGCCTGCTCGGGGGTCTCGTTTGTCCTGTGCATTCACACTAAACACTGAATTTATCCAGGATCTTACCGTGGTCATTAGTGCAGCAAACACAGCTCTGAATTTCTGGTCCCAGCTACATAAACTTTCCATTTTTGCAGGCCAGCTGGTACACCAGCATCATGGCGGGGGTACCTGGCCCACGCTCATCCCCTCATGAGTGTCTGTCATCCAGCTCACATGTGCGTGCCGGTCTGTGTGTGTGTGTGTGCAAGAGCTGGCTTGTTTGTTTCTAGCTGGGATGTGCTGAGCCTGTGCCAGGGGGATGCCACGTTGCTGCCCCATGTGGTGCAGCACCATCTTACTGAGCCAGATGGAGAGCAGACACAGAAGGGCATCCCTTGCGAGAGGGGAACCCTGGAACATCTTGCAGGTAAAATCTCCAGGGTTCCAGGCACGAGACTCTTCTCTGAGTAAGTTCTCTTGTCTGGTTTTGTGAGTGCTGTTTGTGCTGAGACCAAAGATCCCTACGAGGCTCTCGCTGGCTGTGCTGGTTGGTGACTTCCCTCCTAGTCTGCCCATGTACCAGACCGAGGTGGACAGTTTAACCCAGCTCATCTCACCAGGAAGAGGGGTGTCATCTCTGTTCACCCACCAGATCTGCAGCCCATTTGCAAAGAAGTGGCAGAACACACTTGTATCTTTATTTGCCTCATCAGCTTGCAAGGGGGTATCTGAATCATTCTCCCTCCAGCAGCTCTGCATGTTCTCTGCTCCCTCAGCCGGCAGCTGAGTGACAGGGAGGCTCTCCAGGGTGTAGCATAGGGATGCTGTGGAGGAGCACCCCTTTTGTGGTGTCTGTGGATCTCCTCCCTTTTGTGCCCCAGCTTCAGGGGCAAGAGACAGAGCAGGACGACTGGCACTGCTACAGGGAGGTGTTACCAACTTTCCCGCTGTGCCTAGCGTTGCTGAACAAAGTCTCATGGTGGTCTGGAGGAACTTCCTTCAGAGAGGAGGAGTTGAGCAGATTTTCTGGTCCCAAATGAACTCTGCTTAACAGAGAAAAGACTTCTATTGCTTCCATAAAACATGTGAGACCTTGTACGAGATGCTTGGTCCCTGCTGACAACTTTTGTCCGTAGCTTTCTCCTCTATAAAGCGAGGAAATGGCCCAGTGCCCAGCTGACTGGGAGGGTGCCATGAGCCAGGAGAGTGCTGGTGTGACCTGCTGCAGCAGGATGGGGGGACCTCTGGAGAGAGGCAAGCTGCTGGCTCTGGCCTGAAAGAGTCAGCAGGGAGAGCATCAGTGTAAGACACACTGGAGCAACTCAAGGGATGCTTTGGAGGGCGCTGTGTGGTGGGTAGCTCTCGGCTTTGCAGTAAAAGGCAAAGCCATGTGTGTGATTTCACCTGGTCCTCTAAGACTTGGGAGACCTTCAGCTGCTCGGTTTGTTGGCTCTGCTTCAAAAGCCCACATATTGCATCGCTCTCCTTCAGTTTATGCCTTTTGACATCTTTCGAGTGGTTATAGCCCCGAGTCATCCGCGAGAGCTGGAGCGCTCTGCCGCACCCGAGGTGCACATGTTGGTTGTCTCATGCATGCCAGTGTCTGCACTCGGGTGGAGAGATCTGCTGCAGCCCCACGGCGCTGCCGCCTCCTGCCCCTTCCTTCATTCGCTGGATCTGATGCTTGTCACCCATCCGACAAAACAACGGTGACTTGGCTGCAAGGGAGGGCAAGAGCTGGAAGGGTTCAAGGCTGGATTTCCAGAGGAACTGGAGGGAGCAGTGAATCTACTGCTAGCCACCATCCAGGCTTGTTTCCAGACCTCTCCCTTCCAGTGCAATGGAGGTAGCAGAGTCATACCCTGGTTGTCCAAACCGGCCTTTGGATCTGCTTGTAACACACTGAGGCTGGCTTTTGGTGGTACTGACAGCCTGTGGGTTTCACATGAGCGGTGTGTGGCTGAGCTTTCTAGCAAAGTTTGAGATCGTTTTTCATGCAGGGCATCCAAAAGAATAGCTGCCTGTGGAAAATGCTGGGTCTTCTTCAGCACATCAGTGTAGGGAAGGATCCAGAGGTCCAGCCCGGGATCCAGGTGGCAGCCATGTGGGGAAACTCGCACAGATCTGGCTTCCTTCTTGCATGTTTAGCTGGGTCTGGTTTTACTGGTCATGGCATCACTTGGACCTACTGCTTCACATGGGCCTGAAAAGTTTGTGACACCTTTTTAAAGCCCATTCCTTTCCATAGGTCTAAAAATGAAATAGAACACACACATCGCTCCCACAGTAGAGTTTTTTGCCTTGAAGTAAACCTGCTGTTTGTCTAACCCACCTCTTTTTTGAGTTGTACTTCCACTTTTTTGTCCTTGTTTATACACACAGATATGCGTGCGCACACATAATGACAACTAATGTGTTTTGGCTTCCATTCATTTGAAGTGATCTGTTTTTTTGAGTTTTTTTGTGTCTTTTCTTGCAGCTTCTGAAGTCGCCCCGTAGTTGGTTGATTCCCTATTACGCACCTAGTGCCTGAGTCTGATCCATGTTGGCCCTCCTAGTTCACCATAGATACCTCATTTTGACTTAGCTGTCTGTTCAGTGGCGGTGACTGTTGTTGTTGTGCTTTTTGTTTTATTGTGTCTTTATTATTTATTTTTACTTTCTCCTGGGACCTCTGGCCTCTCGTATCTGCTACTAACCCCTCTTTTGTTTATCCCCCATGCTCCTCGCCTCCTGGCAGATCAAAGTGGTGAATGCGTTCCGTAGCTCCTTGTACGAAGGCCTCGAGAAACCCGAATCCAGAAGCTCCATCCATAACTTCATGACTCACCCAGAGTTCATCCTGGAGGAAGATGAGCCTCAAACACCATTCCTTGACGGCGCTGAAGATGACCCTGAGACTGACGGACTCAAAAAGCGAGGTGGGGGTAGCCTGGGTGGATCTACATCCCTCAACAGAAATAACAATGCAGTGGACAGCGATCAAGCTGAGGTCACCGTCCCGGAGCCTGAAAGCCCCTTACACAGCTTGGAGACATCGGTTTGACCTTAGAACTTCGAACCCCCCTCCTCCTCCACCTTCGCCCCTCGCCCTGTGTGATATTGGCACCAGTAACTGATCACACACTGCGGTCACTTCGTGTCAAACTGCTCATACGTATATCTTTTTTTTTTTTTTTTTTTTTTTTTTTTTTCCTTTTTTTTTTTTTTTTTTTTTTTTTTTTTTTTTTTACCATTGTTTAGCAGTGGGAACCAGAGTACCACGATGCTGGGTGTTGGGAGAGAGGCTAAGCCAAAATTGTGCATCTCCATCCCTAATTTTCAGTGGTACTCGCCCAAGTGAACCAGCCAGGTTATTTCCTCTCCGAGAGTTGGGCTCCATGTGTCTGTTGGGGGTTTTCACTTTGAAAAATGCATGTTCAAAGAAAGTTCAAATTGTTGTAGTCTTACATGCACGCTCTCAGCCTGAGGGCTGGGGTGCACTTGTGACTTTTTTTTTTTTCCACTTGTGGTTTTTAGGGTTTTCTTCTAATGTTGGGGTTTGTTCTTTGCTTGTGGGATTTGCCCCCAGTAACTTCACAGTGGGAAGTGGGGGAGTTAGCACTGTAGTGCGAAAATTTAGAAAAAAAAAAAAAACAAAAAAAAACCCAGCCAGGGGGAAGTTGTTTACTCACAGGTTGATAGATACAGGGATGTACACCAGTCTTCCACCTTGAAAAATGGTACCTAGCCTTTACAGTTCCTCCTCTGTGTGTGCGCACACACTTTTCTCTCTCCATTTCCAAAGCAGTAATTGGTAGACAAGGAACGAAGGTGACTTGGCTGTAACCTTGCTGGATGTAAAAGATTCTGATTTTTGTACAAAGCAAGGTGGAGGTGAACTGGCAGTGGAAGGGTGGTGAAGAAAAACCCCATGGTTGTGAGAAACGGGGCTCCTTCCTGGGGAGTCTTAAGAGATGCGTCTCCCCTGCTCTTGAACAGCTGTGAAACTTTTGGCGAGAGCCTTGCAAAGTTTTAATGGCTCCTGCCATCAAGAGCAGAGGGACTTTTGCTTGTTCTGGCTTGCCTGTACTGTTGGGTTAAATAAGCCTTCAGCCTTGGAGTACAAGCTCTGGTTAACTGCTGAGGAACCCCTGAGGATGCTCCAGCCATGCCCACCAGCTCTGCGCATCACTGCCAAAGCATTAGCAGGCTGAACGGAGAACAAGCATCGGGTTATTGACAGTACAGTGGGTCGACTCCTAGATCATGGCAGGGATGAGTCAGGTTGTCTCTTTAGCCAGTGGAAGGGAGGGAGGCTCCATGGCCGATGGGAGGACCCTTGATTTCCATAGCACTTCTGTAGCTGATTTGCCAGTGGAGGCAATTCCTCACAGAGGTGACAGGTTGGTTGGTTGGTTGCAGGTCTTCCAGAGAGGGTGCTGCACGGAGGCTTTGCCTCACTTGCTGCTTTTTTGAAGGTCATCCCTTCACCCTGCATGCAGCCTCACCTTGCTCTCTTGTAACCATTTGGTGAGAGTCCTGTTTTTTTGGAGCAGAGGCCCCAGCTGTCATGGACAATTTGGCTCCGAACTGACCCTCTTGTGAAGCCATGGGACTGAGCAGGAGGCAGGAGTTTGCTTTGCTTGGGCTTAGTTTCTTCCCCGTGGGCTCTTGCTGGTGCACTCCTGGTTACTGGCCCCAGGCAGGCAGGGCTGGAGGAAGCTCTGCTGCCTTCTCTCCTTCATCCTGTTTGGTTTGGTTGGAAGTAGAGAGAACCTGGTTGTAACTGGCTGTACAACGTCATCGTCTTTGCCCAGCCTCCATCCCTGGAAGCAGAGGGGTCTTAGCGAGAGGGTGGGCTGGCTGGTTTCTTCTTTTCTTTCCTTTAAGAACGCACAGCAGAATCTCCCGTGCCTTCTCCGAGCACTGCCTGCAGCACCGCCTGCCACGCGAGGGCCCAGTACTTTGCCAAGAAATAAGTGTTCCTTAAACGACAACACAAACCAAGTGTCTTTGTTTTGTTTCCAGCCCAGCACTGACTCGTCCCTTCCTTGGGGTGGGAGGAGGGAAGGATGAGGTTGCCCCATTCCTGCCCCAGGTAGCTGAGGAAAGGTCTTTCTCCCAGGTCTCCTGCCTCGGTGCTGGCAAAGGGGGTGAAGGCTGGGCTCCATACACTGCCAACAGCAAGAAGAAATTGCCACCACTGCCCATCTCAATTGCAAATTCAGTGTCAAGCCCCCTGCCCACGCAGACAAACCCATCACTGCCCTCCCTGTTCCTTCTTCACATGAGCTGAAAAAATACCTTGGGCAGGACCGGGGGGTGGGGGGATGTTTTCTTGGGGTCTACAGAAGTGGTGACAGGAAAGACAAAGGGAGTGGTTGTGGGGTTTGGTTCTGTACTAAAGGTGACATTGCTTAAAAGATCACTTTTTCTATTTTAAATACTTGCAAAAAAAAAAAAAAAGGATGAAAATGTGGTGTTCTTACAAGCTTACATAAATATTTATTAAATACCTTGAGGGGGGACACACCGATTTTTCTTTTGATATTTTTTTTAATACCTCAGACCTGTTTAAAAAAAAAAAAAAAAAAAAGACTTAAACCAACAAAAAGCCAACGTTGGAGGCTCTCAAAGTCACTCCCAGAAATCTGTGACTGGCAGGTTGCCACAAGGGTCTGGTTGTTCTTTAGTTGTCTATTTTTGTTGTTCTAGTTTCCATATTAGGAGGGGGAGAAATAATTATATATAAATATTATGCAAAAAATATAGTTTTCTTTAGATCAGAAACTGATATTTTTACGTCAGCCATATGTATTTTGTTTAAAGAAAAATAAAATAAATCTTGAGTCCTGCGTCTGCAATGGCGCGTGACTGTGTGACGGCAGTTCAAAGTGACAGGTAATTAATTCAGTGTATCAGCGATTGGATGCCAGTCAGCTTCCTTTTCTCTGAGCAGCCATCTTTATACTAGATGTTAGTTGGATGACACAAATGTTTTTTTATATAAATTATGTTGGTATGGCTGGTTGCTTAAAGTATAAACGTTTATTGTGCATACATCCTTTCTGTAAAGTTTTTTTTTTTTTCTATTTAGTTTCAGTGATATACTGGCAGCAGATGACTATTGGGTTAAGTTATTGAGGACATTACAAAAGAGTTGGGGGAGACTGGTGCTCTATGCTGAAAGGCATGGTCGGCGGCACGAACTTCTGGGGACTCTCTGCAACATGCCTTGAAAGAGGGGGAGATATATATTTTTTTTTTTTTTTTTGCTTTGTTTGAACTGCCACGAGTGTGCACGGGGGAGAGTGCCATGCCAGACAGGAAACGAAGTCATACCCTGTGATATGTGTTAACTTGCCTTGGAATGCTTTGTTATTAAAACACTCTGAACATAATTTTGCATCCAGTTCTTAATAACAGTAGGGTCTCTGGTGGTGGTGGTGGTTTTCTGTTAAATAAATTGGCAGATTGGTACCAAAGACATTATACCACGTCCTGTGTGCATTGCTGAACAGGCATTTTTAGGCATTTGCATTATGTGATAAGGTTTCCTTTGATTTGCACAGGGGTTATACTTAATTTTCAAAGGTTTTGTGCAATAAGCTTTGAGAAAAATTTTGAAACAATCTCAAGAAGGAAAAAAACTAAACCAAATTTTAGCATGGGCAGCCTTTGGCTTTCCCTAGCTGAGAAGTAGATGTCCTGTAGTGCTCAGCCCCTTTAGAAATGCTTCTTAGGGTGACATGATGTTGGGGTGAATGGAAAAGCCCCATCCCAGATCCAGGGAGGGCACCTCCAAGATGCCATTGCCAACTCCTGTTGCCCTCCATGACTGCAGGGAACAAGCACCTCAAAGAAGAGTCCCTGCATGCTTTTGTACCTCTCGGGGGAAGGACACATGTACCTGCCTGTCATCGCTTCTCACTGCTCAGTCCAGCTCCTACAAGTTTATCAACCCATGGAGCATGCAACCTGTAAATCGCCCTCCTGCAAACCCAGCTCTCCCCGGTGGGGCACGGTGATGTGGGAGTACCGTTCTCCTGGTCCTGCCCCAAACAGCGAGGCTGTGGGGCAATGCCGGCATGTTTCTTGGCACCTGGCTGTTCTTCTCCAGCATCTCTCTGCCAAGGCTGTCCCCTGCCACCGAGAGTGGCTGATCTCTGGCTGTTCTGCCTCTGATATCGTCCTGCTCAACAAAAAATACAATTTTCATTCAGCAAAGCCCATGGCTAAAACTGCCTTTAGTTTATTTCCTCCCCTTAAATAAATATATATATATACAGTATTAAATCAACATTTACGTGTGTATATATATTTATCCAATGCTCTCACAACAAAACTTTCTTTTGAAGAGGGCACACAGACCTGAGTTTTTCTTTTCCAGTAACTAAGTATAATAAGCACTGGTATTTTTGTATAAAAACAGAAAAATACAAAACAAAAGACTGAATATTATGTGGTATGCATGACATTAAAAAAAAAAAATGGTGGTTTCAAAGCAATATGTACCCTGGTGTGTTTGCCATATCCTAGAGTCCAGCTTAAAGTGCACCTGATCTGTATTGCATTTTGATATTAATCTCTATGTACAATGTTTTGCATGTAATTTATATGGTTCTTGGGAGAAAAAAATTTTGAATGAATTGTCAGTTGGCTTCTTCTGAGGAAACAGACTCCAAGCAGAGATAATACTCAAAGTGGAAGCAGAAGAGTGGTTGAGGGGTGGGAAAGGGGGTACATAGTAAAAAACTAAAGCGTGCTGGGGGTGGGGGAGAAGGGTAATGGTTTTGAATCAATAAAGCTTTGGCTGTTGAGCAGAAACAGTGCGCAAGTGCATCCAGAGAATAAAATGTGCCCACATGTAACTGTGATGTCCTCAGTGTGTCCACCAGCTTGTGAAATCAATCCCACATCCTCTCCTAGCACTGGATGAATGGCTGGGCTTCCCGTCAGAGCAAGCCTGAGTATGAAAGTGGGGCCTGCGGGGTGGAAAGAGGGATGGGGAGCAAAAGCAACCCCCCTGCTACAAAAGCACTCTGTATTGTGGGTTTTCTCTCTGTGTAAGCCTCACTATCGAGAGGCAGGGGCTGGCTGCTGCACCCAGCACTTTGCCTCAAGCGTGGCTTCTTCCATCTCCAAGCAAAGTCCAGAATTGGCTGTAAAACGCCATCCAAAGCAGTGCTCCTGGGCTATGTGTCGAGCTGCCCTTGAGCAAAGATCCTCCCTTGTCACCTTCCCTGATGCCGTGTCTGCAGTGCCTCTAAGGTGATGCATGGTGGAGGTTGTGGTCACCATCTCCTGGGGACTGACTTTGAACCGTGTCCTGCCTCTCTGCTGAGACTCTTTTGCCTCCATAGAGGCACTTTGCCCAGACAAGGAGGACAAGAGGAAATAAAAGCAACTGGCCTCTAAAATACTCTAATTCCCAAGCAGGTTGATGCACTGGAGCTGTTAACTCCCTGGCTTCAGTAGAGAGGCTGTTGCTTCTCTGTGTCTTTAATAACTCCAGGGCCAAGCCACGATGAGAAGATCGAGCTGGGCAAGGTTGTCAGTGAGAAAGTTCAATCTAAAACTTCTCAGCTGAGTGACTGACCTTTGGAGCTGATGCCAAGTGATATGAACAGGGTGTAAAAGGTTTATTGTGCAGCATCACCCTCTTTTCTGCTTTCTCAGGGAGGCGTCTGAGCCGACAGCATCCTCCAGCTCTTAAACAGAACAGCCACAATTGCTGCTTTTTTTAAACACAGTCTTGGCTGGATGCAAAGGAAGACACAAATCATAGGACTTTCAGTCATTTATGGGGAAAATGGCTGTGCCCACTGTGCCTGTGCAGTAGCAGGGCTGCCCCAGGCACCCTTTCCCCAAGAACGGACACCGCTGCTGCTGTGAAGGTGGCTGTCAACCGCTGCCGCAGGGTCAAACTGGGGAAAAGCAGGACACTGGCAAGCTGGGAAGGAGAGGAGAAAAGCAGGAGGAGGCAGCTTTAGGTCTATGATCTGCCATGAAGCCTTAGCAAGCCCATGCTGCCCTAACAAGAGAAATGGCTACTTCCCAAAACAGCCCAGCCAGGCCCAGGCCTCCTTCCCTGGGGCGCAGCACAGCCTGAAGTGTCCCGAGGCCCCAGGGCAAGCGCTTGTCTGCCCGGGAAACCGGACTGAAGACAAAAAACAGCTTCCCTCTTGGAAAGCGTAACCCTGAGGCAGCGCCCGCTAGCGTGAGGGAGGGAACGGGCACCTCAAGGGCCGAGGCCTGGCGCCATGGTGGGCAGGGGCAGGTACCCTGACAGAAAGGTGGGCGTGGGGCACCGCAGCCGGGGCAGAGGTGGCCGGGAAGAGGGGCACTCCGCCGTTCGCCCCACAATGAAGGACTTCATCTGGGGTTAGAGGCGCTGCCGGGACCCCTCGGAGGAGGAAGGGCTAGAAAAGCCGCCCGCCCCGCTTTGTTTACGGGACCCGCCCGCCCAGCTTTTGTCGCCCCGGTGGGCGGTGCCGCCCGGGCGCTGCGCTCCGTGCGGAGCCCCACCCCCGCCGGTTACCACGGGCGGAAGTGGGCGCTGGTGAAGCCGTTCCGCCCGCCATCTTAGTAGCGGGCGAGCTGAGGTTGCCCGTATGTTAGGCGCCATCTTTGAGGCTGGCAGCGGGGAGGACGACGGCCTGAGCGACGGCTCCGGCGGATCGAGGTGATACGGCGGTGGCAGCGGCGGTCCCTAGGGGTTCGGTAAAGTCCCTGCTCGCCGGTAACTAGAGCCGTTCGTAGACCGCAGGGGCTGGGCAATGCCCTCTCGCCAGGCCCGGGTCCTCTCCTTTCCCCTCAGGGGAAGCAGGCCGCGTCCCCCGCGTCCGGCGGGGCGGGCGGCCCAGGCCGCGTCCCCGAGCCTTCCTCACCGGGGTGTCCGTAGCCACTGGAGCGGGAGGGGGGAGGCGGCGGGGGCAGCGCGGGCTCTCCGGGGACGGTGGTGGGGGTGAGGTGTTCTCCCCGGCCTCGGCGCCCCAGGAGTTTAGAGAGGGGGGAGCTGCTTCCTCGCTGCCCGAGGTAGGCCCAAGGTCCGCTCTGCCCGCGATTACAGGGCCGCAGCCCAGGGCGCAGCTCTCCCGTTCCCCACCCCTGCCCTTCTCTCGGCCCTTAGCCCTTCTGTAGGGCTCGGCTGCCGGCTCCGCTCCCCCCCGCCCCCGGTGGTCTCCCGGGGCAACGGAGTCCTTGGGCAGGCTCTGGAGAGGTTCAGTTGGGCAAATTGAAGATCACAGTGCAGGTGTCTTATGAGTATACGTTTCCAGTTAAAGCCTTGTGCCTTCCTTTTGTAGCAGTGCGTATAAGGGGCGTGCTGTAATGTAGTCATCTGGCAAATTGCTCCTCCGTTCCCCAGAGGAACTGCCTTCAGGAACTGACTAACTCTGGATGCACCCGGCTGTCATCTTAATTTCTCCTTTAGGTTGTTTAAAACAACCCAGTTGGGTGACGTTTGGTTTCGTTTCTTGAGAATTGGACCTAAGAGGTTTCTGTTTTCTTACACTGATGCTTATAATGAAAATGCAAAAGTGATTTTTACTGGTGCAAGGATCAGTATGTGGAGCCTACAGATTGTTCCCAGAACTGGTGCTTTGGGGTGCGTGCTGCCCTCAGAGATTGAGCTCTGGACCATACATTAAAAATAAAACTGTGTTATTTGATTGTAAAAAAGGAGATCTCCTGGGGATAGGGGATTCTGAAATGATATCAGAACCACCACTGGGGCATGTGTTTGAATTGGACTCACATTAAACTGATCAGGCTGAACAGATAGGCTGAATTTATTGCTGGGTGGTCGGGTGTTACAGGGGGAAAGCTAGTCTAGAGAAAAATTTCTCTTGCTGTCGCTTCTCATCTAAAATGGCACCCTTCCAAATGGCTGCAAATTGTCTCTTTTTGAGATTTACTAAAACGCTTCAGTGAGGAAGCTGAATTGTCATAGTAAATTGCTGCCAGGCCCCAGCATTGACTTCAGAAATAGAAAAAGAATGAGTGTGTCTTATTTAAGTATGCCTGTATCGCCCAAGAGTAGATGAAGCAGCTCTAGCAGTCCCCTTAGTTTGGAATTGATTCCCGATGCCCATGTGGACATGGAGGAGGAAAAGCTGGTGGACAGAGAGTGCGATAGAGGAGAGCCGCCTGCTAAAAATACGAGAAAGAAGGGGTTATGCATTAAGGGAAAGCCACTACATTAAAAATTGGTGCTGTCTAAAAATTTGTTGAGGATTTGGGACGTGCAGGTACTGCTACAGCTGCGTGTGCTGCAGTCATGCCTGTTGGCACTGAGCAAGATGGAGAGAGCTTCGTTACTGAATGCAGTATGTTGAAGCACGCACTGTTGCCTGGAAGAAGAGCAAAGACTTGCATTGTGTGGAACTTTGGATCTATGGTTCACCTGGTGTGTCATATCTAGAACAAGCAAACAAAAAATGAGCCATGGCAAGCTAGGTGACATCTGCAGTCAGAGCGTTGTGTGCGATGGGCCGTGGCTGACAGGCAGGGGTCATAGCTGGAAGTGCTGTAGGGGAGGGTGACTGTGCCTGTAACGTGTCTGTGTCAGCCATCTCCCCAGACAGGGCTTTTAACAGTGGTAGTTGGATGTATGTTCCCAGCTCGCACGTTGGCAGTGACGGTGTGGCAGAGCCAGCGGGCTGTTTTTTCAGCTGGAAGAAGAGGAGGAGTGGACTGCAACTGTGCCTAGGTAAATGACAGCTGTCAAAGAGATTTGCCGTAGACGTGGGTCGTACTGGTGCAGCTGTTGCAGCTGCAGCAGTAGTGAATTCTGGAGCATCTGGAGAAGATGGAGTTTTCTTCGTGCAAGCGATACTGTCCAAAGCCTTTTGATGCCAGAAATCAATAGAAACACATCTGTTGTCTGGAACTTCTTAGTTGACCCTCAGTATACCTGGCAGGCTCCTTGCAATGTTTAAAAAGTATGTCGGGCCAGGCAGAGCAGGGACTCGCTTTGGCACTTCCATGTTGCAGCAATGCTTGCAGACCACGCACCCTGCACGCTGGGCCAGGGCCTGAATGTGCTGTTGGTAACCTGAAGCTGAGGAAGCCCTTCTAGATTTTTCTACGGTTCCACGTGAATTTTTTGCTTTGTCAAGGTGACGTACATATTGAGCTATTTCTTTTCAATGGATAGGCTTAGAGCCAGTTGTGGTTGAACGTCTCCAGGCTTGGATGTTCCCGGTCCATCTTTGCCTACTGAGCAGGTGCTTGGTAGGAGAAAGGACATGAATCTTAACCATGGGACTCAGACTGTCAACTACATACTGCTGTGAAGGAACTCGGATAGGAGAATGCACTTAAATAACAGATCAACAGAGCTATTATAAAATTGATTACTGAAGACACTTTTTTTCAATGCCAACATATTAGAAGCTCTTACGGGTTGTGGCACTAAGAGAGTCAGTTCCCATCTATAACATGACTGTACAACAGCGTAAGAGAAAAATTTGTCATGGCTTTGGAGAAAGCCCAACATGGAAGTATGCACTGAACTGTTGATACCCGGACCCTGAACCACCCACAGACTACCTGACAGTGCTGGCCCAAGGATATCTTTTGATACACAGACTGCGCCAGCAGAAGTCCCCTTGTAGAAAACAGGCAGCTCCCTCCCACTGGCTTTGCTAAAACTTCTGCAGTAGGAAGTGTCCTACAGAGCCAAGTTACCAAACTGATGTGTGGCTTTCCCTTAATCCCCTCCCCCCGGCTTTCCACCTTCCAACAGCACGGCCGGCATTGTGCGCACAGTGCTAGGTGCCAGCTGCTGTGTTTGGCGTATATTTTGAAATTAATGATTCTGGACTTTGAGCACAGGGGCACTGAGAGCAGGTCAGCAGGTACTTAAGCGATTTTCTTGCTCATTCTGCTAGTTCTTCAGGGACTCCAGCATCCAAACAATCTTGCACAGGATCACTTGAAGCAGGAAATGGCTGCTCAGCAAACCTCTCTCTACCTTTTAGGTTAAAGTGACTTTAAACCAGCTGAAGGTGGAGCAGCATCCCCCAGGGAGGGAGAGTGGGTCTCTTCTCAGCTCATTCCAGTGGTCCCAGATGTCTGATGGGTGCAAGATTGTTGGCCTGCAGGTGGAGGCCAGTGGGGAGCTGCAGTTCTTAGTCAAGCACTGCCAGTGGTCACGTCCATCTGGCTTTGCAGAACGTGTGGAAAGACTTTCAAATGAAAGGCGTCGCTGTGGCTTTTGGACTGGGAGATGGGTGAAATATCTTAGGCTTGAAACCGATTTCCTCTGGAGTGGTGCGCTTGCCCTGAACGCTTTGTCTCGGCCACTTTACTAGATCCCTGCTGTAAAGGTTGCTTTGAAGAATTCCTTCTCCTGCAGAGACATCTTGATGTGTCAAGCTAAAGAGAGATCTGTAGTGAAGCAGTGTGTGACCTGATGAGTGCTTCAGTTGAGGGTTATTCTTTGACAGTTAGAGAAACACTGGGCCAATCAGCCCTTTCAAGAACAGACTGATTTGCCTCTCATTTTAAGGAAGGATGTCCTAATTCAGGTCATAATGCAGCGTTCTCTATGTAACTTGTGACACCTAGGGCGCTGTCAGCCTGTGGAGTGCTGTAAAAAGCAGGTAAAACATCAGCAGCTGTTTTGCGGCTGGGGTAAGGCTGACGGATTGACAAGGGGGATGAGAACACGTAGTTCCTGGTGCTCTGCCTTCCTTGTGATCTGACTGTCCTGATACACAGGGGGGGCGTTAAGCATCTTTACTATTTTTGTAAGCGATTAAAGGCACAAAGTAGAGCAGCAAGAGAGACTGCCCAAGTGAAATACTTTGTGCTTTATAACCCGCAAGTACCCACAGGTAGGTGCAATAGTACTCCTCTCGTGCGTTTGTTGGGGTGCAACAAAAAAGTTTTGTTCCCTTCTTGGTCTTTGGTACAGGACACAGGCAGGTCAGCAAGCTGGAAGGTTAGACCAGGGAGTGGGACTGTTTCTTCAGTACCGAGAAAGACGAGCTTGTAAAACAGACTAGACAGACTTTCATTGTACTATTTCTCTTCCCTTAGCAAAGGTGGAGTTTATGGTACTTGCTGGCATGTTTTTCCTGACCCCTAGCTACTGCATCTGTAATTATTTTTTTTTTTTTTTTTTTTTCCAAAATGAATTCAAAATCTCTTAATACAAAAACTTTACTGGAGTTCTGGAGAAAAAACAAGTGTTTAAGATTCTCATCAATTTGCTTGAGACCTGCTGAGTGCACCAGAGTTACTCATTCGTATTCAGACTTTCAGGGGTTAGTTCAGTTGATTTCTGTTTAGCAGTCAGATTGCCATGTTAACTGATACCAGTTTAAAAAAAAATATGTTTTTGAGATAACCTTTTTTAAAATGGAAGGACTTTTGTGGAATTCAGAACTTTGAGGTTTTTGGAAGGGGTGTTTCTCCTTCTGAGTGTGTGTGGGGGGGGAGTTGTAAAGGGTTTTTTTGTTCGTTGGGGGTTTTTTGTGTTTTTTTGTTGTTGTTTTAAAGTTTTGCTTTTTTCCCATTCCTTAAACAAGATCCATTCAAATTCTGAAGAGGTCTTGAAGTCTGCTCAGGAGTATGGAAGGCAACAAGTAAAATGCTGAGCTGCTTGCGTATTCAAAAGAGCTAGATCTGAGGGGATTTCTCTTTTCCCCCCATGGTGGTGGGTATAGTAAAGTTGCGCTATACAGGTGTGTCTCACTTCCTAGGGAAAAGAAATGGCACCTTCTAGACCATGAATTCCTCCTGATTTGTATTGGAATGCCTCTGCTGGGCAAAGCGGTGGTCCTTAATTGCCTTCCATTTAAGAGTTGGCTTGTGCAAACTGCAGAAATCGTGCTTGAAATTTAATTTAATTATCAATGGCATCAGTAACACATTTGGAAAAATGTTTCTTGTCAAACTTCTACCTGAAGGAGCGCCAGTAATTTCTAGAAGGAGATGCGTAGGAATCTGTATGACACAACAGTCTGTTTTTGAAGGTGCTAAGGGTGAAAAGTGAATAGTCCCATCAATACTGAAGAAGGGAAGGAAACCTTGCGCTTAACAACTATTTTTCTTCCCTTTGCCAAGCAGTCAAAACCCAATAACTAACATGAGAACCCAACTTTTCCTCTCTTTATTTTAGATTTGGGAAAATTCCCTGCCAAAAATAAAAATCCTGGAAAATTCACTAGTGTTTGTGTGAGTAGAAGGTTCCAACCTTTTGTTATTAATTTGTAAGAACTATTTCATTCCGTTTTGTCCAAGAGAGTCAGAAATACTTGCACAGAAATGCGCAGCATGGGAATGAAAGGGGTCAGAACCGCTTGAATTTGAGCTTTATCTGGTGTGGTTGCAGGTTTTATGGCATTTAGTATCTTTAGAACAGTAAGAATCACAGTATCTGACTTTGCATCCAAAAAACCTGCTTGTGGCTAGGGAAGATCAGTTTCAGCGCTGGAGGCACCAAAAAATCATCAGCTGTCGAACTGGACCTAAGCCATCTTTTCAAACCTTCCGTGATCTTGCTGCAATGCATGATGATGGATTTATGGATTAGAGAACAGCGTATGATGGCAAACTTGTAGCATTGGCTCTGATGTAAAAAGAGAACAAATTCTTTCCAAAAATCAAAGTAATTCCAAATTCTTGGTATCACGCAGCCATGCCACTTGCAAAGGAAGCATTTCCCTGCCTCTCAAAGCTTGCTGTATCCTCGATCTGCTGTCTCCCTGCTGTTAATTGATTGCAACTCCGCGTGTCCGATTAGGGCTGAGAGTTGCTCTCGCTACGGATATCGTGCACCATGTGCTGCGCACGCTCGTGTGTATAGAAACGTTGATACTGTATGCGTGTACATAGGTATGCCTGTTTGTGTGCTGACCCCAAAATCACTCGTGTTATAAAGCATCAGCCTTGAAGGCATATTCATCAAACTGTTATGTAGATCTTTTGGGTTTGCCGGTTCCCTCAAAATGAGAGACTTTTTATGCAGTCTGCTGTGGCAAATAGCCCCACATTCTAATTTTTACTATCGCTCTTGCTGACTTTATCATCCCTTGCTCTTGGTGTGTGCATGAACGGGTATGTGTACGTATGTCCAGACAGTATTTAACAGGTCGAGTTGACTAAAACAACTGTAAGGAGTGGAAATTCTGACTGTTCTGCTTCAGCTTTGGACAACTTGGCTTCAGATTCTCATGCAGAGAACGAGATGTGTTAGCAAGAGCTTGTCCTGTGCTTCAGATGACATGCTGGGTGGTTTGCATACGCATCATAGTGCAGCGTTCTCTGTGTAACTTGTGACACCGAGGGCGCTGTCAGCCTAGTGGAGTGCGGTAACCAGCAGGTAAATCATCATCAGCTGTTTGCGGCTGGGGTAAGGCTGACGGATTGACAAGGGGGATGAGAACACGTAGTTCCTGGTGCTCTGCCTTCCTTGTGATCTGACTGTCCTGATACACAGGGGGGGGCGTTAAGCATCTTTACTATTTTTGTAAGCGATTAAAGGCACAAAGTAGAGCAGCAAGAGAGACTGCCCAAGTGAAATACTTTGTGCTTTATAACCCGCAAGTACCCACAGGTAGGTGCAATAGTACTCCTCTCGTGCGTTTGTTGGGGTGCAACAAAAAAGTTTTGTTCCCTTCTTGGTCTTTGGTACAGGACACAGGCAGGTCAGCAAGCTGGAAGGTTAGACCAGGGAGTAGGACTGTTTCTTCTTTTTCACTTACTGATACCTTTCTTTAGGGTTACTTTGAAAAAGAAGATTTGACTGACCAAGCCATTAGGAGACTTTCAGTCCAAGAAAGAGTGAAGCCAGCTCTTGCCAGGACGGGAGGAAGTCCCTGTTGAGAGCGAAGCCTTCGAACCTGAGCTGGTTCTCAGACGGTGTCGATTATGTCCAAGCAAGGGGACGACTGCTACTTCTATTTCTATTCCACCTGTGACAAGGTATGTTTGGGCTTCTTTTGCTTTGGGGTTTCTTGTTGAGTTTTTGAGAAGAGGGGGGAGAGGGGGCGGAGACATCCAGATTTCTGTTAACTTCACAAGCAGTTAGATTCTGCTTCCAGTTCTACTAGCATGGATAATTCTGGAGGCTGTACTGTTTTAATTTCCTCTTTGTGGGTTTCCTTTTGGTTACAGGGAGACAGCTGTTCCTTCCGCCACTGTGCGGCCGCTCTGGGAAATGAGAGAGTGTGCAGGCTGTGGCAGGAGGGTCGCTGTTTCAAGACTACCTGCAGATTCAGACACATGGAAGTCGATGTGAGTGTTTGCCTAAAGATGTGTTCTCCAACTAAATCCCTGAAAGCATTTTTCCTTGCTGTCGGCAGCCTGAATGTGCTTGTACGTGATAGATTTACTTGCTTTCAAAGGATACTGGTTTCCGTTACTTGGAGGGGGGTGGGAGGAAGTTGGGGGAAGAAAGATCAATTTCTTAGGTATATCTCAGCAAGACATTTTTGTATTAGGTGCTGGCATTCTTTTCTTAACAGAGGCAAAAGCAACCACATTAATCAGACTGCTTAAATGTGCTGGAGCAGGGTAGTAGTAAACAGCCTGCAATAGCCTCGCGAGGCCTGGGCTTGATAACGGCCTGTTGGGTCTCTTCTCTCCTGCATTTCTTCCGATAATGTTGTTCTGACGTCTTGGGGTAGTACAGGGTGGGGAGAGAAAAGATGGGAAGGAAATAAGGCTCTGAAAGATAACTTGAGATAGATTCAAGCTAGGCAATTTAAGGCATTTTTTCCCTCTGAATAATCCCAGTATTTTGCACATTGTCTTAGTTTAGCCCACCCTGAACTGATGTGTGCGAGCCCCCGTCTTCTCCAACGGAATGACAGGAAAGCTAGATAATATGTAGTAGTTACAGCGTACGCAAACTTTGTCGATCTGCCCTGCAATGCTTTCAGTGATAGACTGCCCTTTGGAACGATGTTTCCGCACTGCACTGCGATAGCCCTCTCTCTGGCATGACGTGTAACTATGTCTCTTAGCAAGCCTAAGGCGAGTGTTACCATGAGCTTTTCTTTCTGTCTGTCTCCAGAAAAAACGCAGTGAGATTCCTTGCTACTGGGAGAATCAACCAGTTGGCTGTCAAAAATCCAACTGCGCTTTCCATCACACGAAAGGACGTTATGTTGATGGACTCTTCTTACCGCCAAGCAAAAGTGAGTTTCTTGGGTCCTTTTCCTTTAAGCATTAAAGAATTAATTCTGAATATTACTCAGGAGTGGGTACAATGCCGTAGAAGGCATCGAGTAACTGCTCACTGATGAGTGTAGGGAGAAGTGTGCAGTCACAGGCTCTCAGCTAAACGGACTGTAATTCTGGTATTTAATTCTTTCTTTCATGCTCAGCTTCTCTGTGCTTTGTGTGATCTTTGCACTCCAGGTTGCTTTCCCCTCATGTAATCCTTTCTGGAGGGTAGGGTGGCGAGATGAGTGTGTGAAGGGAAGCCGTTGTTCCTAGTGTGTTCGTAGGGGTGGGGAATAGGAAACTCTGAATTCAGCAGCCAGGTGGGTTATCTACCTTATCTACCGTATCTAGACAGTGAGTGCAAGGTTGGGGTGAAAGTTTTACATGGCCAAATGAGAGATGATCCTCGTCTTCCTCTAGCTACGCTTCCAAGTCCACCTGAGTCTGCAGAAGATGATGTGAAAATGGCTCAGGCGTCACTGCAGCAAAACAAACTTTCTGTCCAGTCAAATCCCTCTCCGCAGCTGAGGGGGGTGATGAAAGTGGAAAACTCTGAAAATGTCCCAAGTCCTACACATCCTCCAGTTGTAATCAATGCTGCAGATGATGATGAAGATGATGATGGTGAGTGTTTTTTACTTACTGAAGGCATTTCTACTGGAGGTGAATGTATAAATTCACAGAGTACCTGAACTGTGTAGTGTTTAAAGCTACGGACGAGAGTCTGGAGTCTTAAATATTTTTTCCCCGGTATAGCTCTTGCTTATATGAGCTTATCAAGTCAATATAGCTGTTTAAAAAAAGCCTTCCACAAACAGTTGCTTGTAGTTAAGAATACGAACAGAATATGAACCGTGGACTGAAATGTCATTGTACGAGCTACATGAGCATGAAACGTCTTGTATAATCCCTGCTCCGTAACTGAATAGGTTTTATTTTGGACGTTCAGAGCAGCTTTCTGAAGAAGGAGATGAAACTAAAACACCTGTCCAGCAACCGGCAACAGAAGCCTGTAGTGGATCGCAGATAATTTCCACTAGGAAAGGCAGGGCTAATACAAAGCAAGGTATTCTAGCAGCTGTAGTAGGATGGCTTGGAAGGAGAACTTGACGATTAACTCCAAAGCGATATGTTCTAAAACTACGATAGAGCATCGGGTAGCTGGATGGAGTCAGTTATTTCCACGAGCTCATTCCTCTCTAATAATGTCATATGTCCCTTGGGTCAGACAGGTCAACTCCTCCCTGTTGACTTTTGTAAAACAAAATAGAGCCACAGCGTGGAGTTTAAATGCCTGCAAATGTGTCCTTTCAAACACTGTGGGAAGAAGCCATGTCTAATGATAGAGGAATCTAATATCGTGTAGATGGATTAAAACGCTTAAGACGGTAGGTTTTACTCTGTAGGATGGGAGGAGGGTTGAAGAAGGATGCCAATTGCTTACCAAAATACCCATCCGTTCTATGGCTTTTTTTACTGGTGGGGAGTGTTGAGAGGGTTTATTTGGAAGACTTTGGAAGGGTTCTGAGCTGTAAGAAGCTTGAGGATGTGTGCTCTTCAACATGTGCCTTTAGGCCTCAGCTTCAGTAACGATTTTCTGTTTTCAGAGGACAACTTAAATTTTGGATTAAAAAGAGTTAAAGAAATCAAATTGGAGAAACTAAAGAAAAAAACAAAAAGCCAAGGTGGTGAGTTAATATCCCCTACTTGTAGTGAATACTATTGTTTCCATTTCATGGCTTCTCAACCGAAAGGTTAAGTAATAATTAAGATAATTCAGGCAGGTTAGCCTGCTGGTGCTGCCTTTTCTAATTAAAACCATGCTTTTATGCTTCAAGGCCCTGGTTTGATTGCAAGTATTTGGCATTTGTAGGTGCTCAGGTTGTTGTGTTGCAATAAAAGACCCAGAAGCGGTTTTTATCAGCCTGACATTAAGCCGTAGCTCATCATGTATTACACCACCTTACTCTCCAGTGTGCTTAATTGGACTCTCACGTTCCTGAAGTTGAGTGAGATTTGTGAATGAGCTAATGTGTTGACAGCACGTGGCAGAAGTAGCGGTTGGGTTAAGTGCAGTAGCAGAAGAGAGAGAAGCTAATGTCAATACGAGTGTCAGTATGCAAAAAAGGGGGTAAGTGGAAAAAGCGGGCAGTAATGAAAGGGCAGACCTATAGAAGATGGTATTATACAAGTAGGCAATTTTTGAAGTGTTGACGAGGCTGACGGTGGCACTTGCGGACAGTAGCGTGATAGGAGTCTGTGTATAAGTGGTGGTGTTCAGATCTGCACAAATTCCTTTGAAAGGCAAAAAACGTGTGGCACTACTACTACACGTAGTCACTCGTTTCTGTGGTTTGGCTACCAGAAGAGTGCCTTTTGCTGGGACGTGGACTAGAAGGACAATGCTCTTAGTGGCTACCGGTTTCTGTGCAGTGAAGAGATTATTCTTTGTTTTAGGGGAGGAGCCTGTGATTCAAGTGAATCTTGGCGAGAGGATGGGAAAACGGAAAGCCTCCATAGGGAAGAACTTTTTGTGAGCTGTTGTTCGGGTGCCCTCATCTAAACGTGACTATGTTTAAGGGTATTTTTGCTGCGTGCAGGAGGAAAATCCATTTTGGCAGAGATGTGTATTGGCGGCAGGCAGAAGTGGCAAATTTGGTTAGCAGCTGAAAGGCAAATCTAAGAAAAGATCCCTGGAAGCATTGAAGTTTGTGGCTGACTGTTCTAAAATCCTCCTCCAGAGAAACGTTCTTCAAGTATTGCTTGTTTTCTCTCCTTCTGAAGCTGGTAGAAGTGTCCTTCCATTAAAGTGCAACCTTGCTGACAGGCTGGGGAAGAAGACAGAGGTTCTGGAGAATGCTGACAACGCACCAAAGAGAGGTGCAGCTACTAAGCAGACATCTGGATTTGATGCACAGATTTCCTGCTTAGGTTTGCTGTTTGTCCTTTCTTCTAGTGGTTCTTTTTGCGTGTTGGTTGAGGGCTCAAGGTAGCTCTGAATCCCAGTGAAGTGATGGCTCTCATTGTGAAACGTGAGCACCAAATGGAGATTTATGCAGTCTGCCGAACTTTTTCTGTTCTCTCTTGTAGTTCAAGTCCCCAGGTCTCTGAAGGAGAGGCTAGGACTGCCCTCTGAACAGAGCCGTACAGAGACAGGTACGAACTGGCTATTAAGTATGCTTTCCCCTTTTGTCTTTCCGTGAGCTTTCCTACGGCCCTAAAAGTTAATTTAAAAAAACCTGCCTGATTCCCCTTGCTCGAGTGCTGAAGCTGTCCTGTTTAGCCACTGTCAGAGATCTGGCTCTAGAGGGGGAGGGTGTTTTCTACTCGTGCCTCATCAAGGTTTCCGCTTGAAAACTGCTGTGAACCCTCAGAAGCTGCAGTATGCTTACGCACAAGTAGGACAGAAGCACTGCCAGGAGCAGGAGTTTGAGATGCGAACAGAGAGACAACGGTCTGAGAAAGTAACAAAATAAAATAAACTAATGCTGTTTGTGTCGCCACTCTCTCCGGATAGCACTAGTTTTCAAAATACAAGTGGCTTAAAGGAGGAGAATACCGTGCAGAATGGTGCTGTCCTAAGATGCATTCTTGGGATCACGCAAACCTAGTTTTCCTTAGTACTGTGACAGATTTTGGAGACTTTAAATATTGCTGGACTCTCCTTAAATGTTGGTGCTTCTCTTTCTTTTTGATGATGACAGAGAAGGCTGCTAAGCCAGCAGGAGAGATCCATGTGAAAACACTGGAGGAAATTCGACTTGAGAGCACTAATCGGAGACGAGGAGAACCCCAAGTGAAACCCCAGACTGAAGGACGTTGTAAAACAGAAGATCCCAGCTTGGGGGCAAGACCTTCCCCTGCAGTTCACGTCAAAACTTTCTCAGGCTCCCTGGCTGAAAAAAACCACAAGCGATTGGAACGAGAGAAGCAAAAAACAAAAGAGTTTCCTACCAAGACAAAAGTTGAGAGCAAACCCAAGAAGCAGAGCACACTTGCTCCGTCTGTGCTCAGCCAAGCGCGCCCGGCAGAGCCGGCACGTAAAGCCAAGCCAGCAGGAGAAGTGCGTGTTAAAACCTTGGAAGAAATCAAGCGGGAGAAAGCTCTGCGGATGCAGCAGAGTGGAGGAAAAGTGCCAGCTCCACCAGCACAACCTGAACCTGCCCCGACAGGGAGGAGGTTGTTACGGATCACAAAGCTAATAGGTAATAAGGTGATTTGATACCTGCCCTGGTGAAGCGCTTCCCCTGTCGAGCAAATTCAGTTTGCTGAGGTTTTGCTTTGCTTTTTCCTTCTGCATATCGTAGAGGGTAGAAGAGTTTAAGGCTACAAAGTCAGAAGGCAAGGAAGTGCCAGAATATGCAACCATATTCTTTTCCATGAATCACGTGATAGCTTTCTGTATTTCCCACTGGAAAATTCTTCCACTGAGGAGCTTTGTAGCCTAGTTTCTTGCTTCTGTTTTTTCTGCCATCCGCTTGTGGTATGGGATCTTCCCTGGGCTGAATCCAGGCTTACCTTCCTCTTTGGCATATGCATTGTTTAACTCAGTTATTGATGTATCTATGTTTGCAAAGCATGTATCAACTTCTTAATGTGAGGGCCAGTTTTTGTCAAAATTGGCAGAGCGCTAAAGATACCGTTTGGATTATATAAGCCATGTAAAAAGAGAATAGTGCGATTGAGGGAAAGAGAGCTGGAACGGTGCAGGGATTGCTTACTGTAGCCTTTCCCTCTGTCCCATTATTAGACGTGAGGAAGTCAACACAGCAAGGAAACAGAGGTAGCCAGGTTTCTTTATTTCTGCTGTTGACAAAATGATGATTTTTTTTTTTTTTTTTTTTTGCTTGTTTTGAAGCACCTGGAAGAGAAGAAAAGATGATAGTGGAATTGAGCAAGCCTTTTCCCAAAGCTGTCTCTGCAGCTGCAGAGGTGAGTCCTTTGTGAAGACATACATCTATCTATTCATACAGTTTTTGATACATTTTGTTATGTTTTGTTTGTAACTGGCTGCATGCTCCCAGTTTGAGTGTGTTCCTACCTTTCCGCATTTGGTAAGCGCTGCAGTGCTGTCGCAAGTCCTGTCACTACTTTGAATAGCATTTCCAGACAACGTGTTAAACCCCAAGCTTTGAATTAATCTTATTATACCTGACAGTGAATAAGAAACCCTATTAGCACCAGATAAAATCTGCGAGGTTAATGTTTTTCTTCTCCGTGACTTTATCTGTGAGACTGGAAGAAGGAGATCTTAAAATCCTGGGCTAAGAACTTTAATAGAAAAGGCTGGAGGTTTGTATTAGAGGAAATCAGTCTGTCAGGGAATGCTGTCTTGGGGGAGCTTGTATGGCTTCCTGTTGCTGAAAAAGAATGTACTAGATTACAGCTAGAGTCTTCTGCTCTGTTGAAGAAGCTTGCTGTGTTGGGAATTGTAGGCTTTTGAAACTATTTCCATAGCAAAGCATGGATCTTGTTACAGGTTACAGGCAACGTTTTATGGGGAAAAATGTCAGATCTGAATGGTATTAACATGCTCTGTTCCACATGGAGCTATTTCAGAGGGATTGCTACTGAGATTTTCTGAATGAAATCTCCATAGATTTTTGTCCCCTTAGTCCTCTTCTTTTGCTTCCTTCCAGCCCTCTGATCAGAGTGCAACTAATTCTAAAGTTCAAGTGAAGAGCCTTGAAGAGATAATGTGGGAGAAGCGGCAACTGAAGCAACGCCAAGAAGAGAAGCTTCAGAAGGAAGCAGCTGCTGTGCCATCTCCTACTGAACAGGCAATCAAGGATAAAACTGCAGCATCAGGGAGTCCTGAATCCAGTGTGGTTTCAGGGTCAGCTTATCAGCTTCCAAAGAGGATATTGGTGAAATCTCCGGGAGATGGGGTTGAAAGCCCCGGAAAGGGTGCTGCCATATCACCAGGGGAACGGGCAGCTCAACTTCCGGAATGGTTAGCTGAAAGTAAGTGTTGACTGTATGTTAAAGAGTTACTTTAGGTCATGCTTTGAAAGAAAGGCAGAGGGTGACAATTTTCACGTTGTAACTCTGGCTCCTTTTTGTAATATCTTTGCTCCTTCTTATGGCTTGTTGGTAAACAGAGTTTACGGTGTGGAAAATACTGCCGAGAGTCTGGGAAATGGCAGTGGAATTGTGCTGGCTAAATACATTTAACTAGAAGGGTTGTGGCGCTGTTAAGAGAACCTGTTTGTTTGTCGTTTTTTTTTCCTGAGGCAGAGCAAGACTGCATCAGTTCTCTCTTCCTTTTACTCTAGCCAGACGGAAGGGGTGCCTGAAGCCTTTGGATGGGAAAGCCACCTCTCCCACAAAGCAGCCACTGAAACGTAAGGCAGCCGAGAGTCATCCGTCTGCCGTGGCGGCTGTGAAGCCATTGAGTGCCACTGGTGGCGACGGGAAGGAGCCTTCAGCTAAAAAAGCAGCTGTGGTAAGGAGAGCGGCTGAGGCAGTAGTGGGTCCCTAGTAAATTTTATGCCCAAGTTGTAGCCTCCTCTTGGAGAAAAGATGGAAGACTGAAACGTTCTATGGGTCTCTGTTCCCTTTTAAATCCAGAAGCGGTCGCCAGGACGCTTGTAGTACCTTTCTGCTTTTTACGAGGTGAATGGCAGTGTTTACATAATGCTCCGCTACGTCCCTTAATGCTGCGTTCTTCAAAAAGACCCAAGGTCGTTAGTAAACTTTAAGGGAATGCTAACTTTTCTTCAGGTGTGCCCTGGCTCTGTATTTTGGTTAAGGCTCAGCAATGCCAGAGGAGAAGCAGCGGAGGAAGAATCTGCAAAGCAGTCTTTGACCTGTGTATCCTAAAAACCATCTTGCTTCTTCCTAGGCTGTTGTTCCGGCTTTGCCAGAGGGCAGCCTCCTCTCCATACGCGGGAAAGGAAAACCCCAAACCAGGTAACAACCACAACTTGTTCATTTTCTTGATCAGTGTGCCTTTCGTGTGAAACTAAGTTGGTTTGTTTTTTTTTCCCCACACGTGGAAAAATTAGAGTTTTGAGATACTTCATGCCAAAATCCAGCAGAGGAAAAATTCGTCTGAAATAATAAGTTTCTAGCAGCTGGCTGGACTGCTTATCTAGATTCTTGTCTGAAAACGCTGCAAGTTGGTACAGCTTTTCAGTGGCTTCTTGGGGTTTCTGAACGCCTGCAGAGGTTGACTTGGTAACCTTTTTGCAGTCAAATTCGTAAAGGTGGCTAAGTGTCTCTGGCGACAAAAACGGAGCCTTCTTTGCCAGACCCCAGATGCTGTGTCTTCGCGGATAAATCCCCAAAGTGCAAAATGTACCTGCTGATACATTGGACTCCAGAAGCAGCCCCAGGTTAATTGAATAACAGTCCCTGCATAAGGCTGAGGGGTAGGAGGGATTAACTACCATTTTAAGAGCTGGTTTGCAGAAAACATCTCTCTGCTTAAGGAATGTCATACACTGATTTGCTCTCTTTCTTGTTCTTCCCAGTCCTGAACTGCATATTGGAAGCCAAGCGGACTCTGTGGCACCGTCGGAGGTCTCAAGCTCGACCTCAGCTTCCTCACAAGTAGCAGTAAAGACACGCCGGTTGAGCTCCACAGGAGCTGGGAAAGCACCTTTATCTGTAGAAGATGACTTTGAGAAGCTTATTTGGGAAATCTCAGGAGGCAAACTGGAAGCAGAAATTGACCTGGACCCAGGGAAGGATGAGGATGATCTCCTCATGGAACTTTCTGAAATGATTGACAGCTGAACTGCATAGTCTTAAGGTTTAAAAAAAAAAAATTAAAACTGATTATTTTGTTGGATACCCAGACGTGATCCTTTTTCTAGCTGAGGCTTTGCAAGGAGTCTTAAAGCACATTTGAACTGGTAGAAATTGTCAGTATCTGCACTCAGTTGTCCTAAACTTCCCTGCTGGTCAGAGTCAAGGTCCCGTGCATCAATTCCGTGACCCTCGGTGTCTATCTTCCACATGAAGAGGACGAAGCGCTTGTTTATTTCAGAACAGGGACATGTCCATCTACGAACTGTGGTGGTTGTGAACTGATCTACTGATATGGTGATGCTCTGAAGGCTTAAACTTAAAGCTTCTTCATTCCTCCCCCCTTGGCAAAACTCTGTATTCAGTGCGTTTCAAAGCTTTGGTATTCTGATTTCTTCGACAGTTGATATCCCAAGTCTAGAGTTACTGTGTTAACTCTTCAATTTTATTTATGTATGTTATCATGTTGACTTTGATCTTTTAGGGTAACGTAATGAAAATGTCAGGGTGGGAGGGAGCAGAATAATTACTCTAGTCTTTTGGACCAAACGTGCTGCCGCCTCGGGTGGTGGTTGGGGTCAGTGCATCCAGCCTTACTTTGAATTATCAGGGATGATGCAGTATCAGTGTGAAAACAGCAGCTCTGCAGTACAGCTAGAATACCCCCCTCCTGTTTTGTTGTACTGTTCCAAAGCTTTGGGGGTGGGGGGTGGGTTGGTGCTTTTTGCTGATGTGGGGTGGGTAGTCAGGATTCCTGTTGTAGTCTGCAGTAAATTGGTAAATGAAGAATTGGTTGAAGTGCCTCCCGGTTCCACGAATCGCTCCCGCGAGCTGCTGGCTCATCCTCTGCCCAGAAGTGGCGGCTGCTCGGACTCATGTTCAGACACTGTCGGCTTTGTCTGACCTCCCGCTGCACCCACAGCACCGTCGTCGACTCCAATCCAAGGGGGGAGCGGGTGCCCAGGCTGGCGATCTTGGAAGCTGGTCCTGCTGCTGGACCAACCGTGCTCTCCTTTTTGGGCATGCCCTAGGGATCCTCCCTTTGCTTTCCACTGCCCCACTGCCGAGGCTTGACCTCCGGGTAGAAGTCCATGCTGGAGGCGAGATTGGAGGTTACCGGTCTGCCTTGGGTCTCGATGTGCGGTCTGAATTTGTGACCCTGCAGAAGACAGCTGAGACTGGGGTCTATTGTGTACCCTGCCACCAGGGATCGTTTTCCCTAGCAGCTACCTTTTGAATCATTTTCTTAAATTTTTGAAGAACTTGAGTCTCTTCTCTTCCTACGAGGATTTGTGAAGGTGGGGCGGCCCTCAGGCATTTGCTGCTGGCAGAGGAAAAATCGGTTGTCGGAGTGGATTGTCAATACTTTCTCTTTGGAAGAAAACACTTGCGTGCTTTGATAATCCACTGTGCTGTCTTCGTTCCTAGAGGAAAGGTCTGAAACCAAAACTGAGCAAAGTGCTGTTCCGGCTCCAGAAGGGTC